ATGCAAAAACATGTGGTAGAGATAAAAAGATATGAGAATACAACTAACTTATTTGGCTAGTGATTGAAAATAAAGCATATGTGTAAATGGAGTTTCATTGTCAGGAGGACGAAAGAGAAATGTGTGGCCATAAAGGATACGTGTTTAGGATTTATTACATGTGTTAGGTTAGAGTTTGTTGAACTATATATGTGTATGTATATTATAATGTATGCATGTATTAGTATAGCTTTGAGTGTCGTTTCCTTTCCTTCTTGGTTTGTTTATTGTCGTGGTGCAATTGAATTCAGCCTCCCAAATCTTGTTTAGCTTCTTTCCGTCCCATGCTTGTTAGCTGTTGCCTACGTAACAGAGTTTTACTATACGTACAATTTACAATAACTATGATATTTGGTCAAAGATAAATTACCGGTACAAAGATTATAAAATTAATAAAAATGGAAAAAATATTTATATATGCTTAAAAATTCTGATTAAACATTTTCTTTCTATTTGCTCACAATAGAAACGCTAATAAGCAGGATTTTTATATAATAGCATACAAATTTTATTTGTTATCTACCCAATTTATGCATGCGAAAGGATTGTCGTATCATTATTAGCTATATATGTGTAATGCCGTATAATCCAAGTAAGATCTCAGTTCACGTGTTGGAGGCAACCGTCTATATTACTTATTCTCAGCACAAAAGCAAAATCTTAAGCAAATTAAGGTTATTCTTAATAAGAAATTAATTAGAATATTATAAGATTAATTTATTAAATTTGAATATCGCATGTGTAATATATAATATAATATATATATTTATAGTTAGTTTTGAAAATGAAATATTAAACTTAATTAAATCAAATTAAACTGTATTAATTCTAATGATTGACAAAAAGATAACCACTTACTAATTCTCTGTGCAGATATCTAGTAACTTGTGGTTTTATGTATCTTGTAGAGATGATCAAACATTAAGTCCACATATAATTTTCAGCACCAATTATTAATTATTAATAATAGTAAAAGAGTTGTCGTTTGTTGTTGAAGGTCCATTCTATGTACATGTGCATGCGAGTATTTATCTAGTAACAATTCTTATTGGAAAAATGTATAACCTATGCTTTAACAACCAGAATTGAAGAAATAATTTTCAAATTGTCATAATAATTAGAATATTTGTATAAAATTTTCTTTCAAATAATATCAAACGACCAAGGAAAAAAAGATCAGACAACAACTATATTTACCTTGACTGAACCGAGACTCTCACCCATAGATCAAAACAATGAAAATATATATTTGTTTTTAAATATCGATCATACTTTATCATTTTGAATTAGTATAATCTCTAATAGATTAACTTGTTTAGCAGTCTGGGTCCATGGTAAAAAATATTCTCATTTCAACAAAATAGTTTATTTTTATTGGTATGGTTCATTCCGATCGATATGAGAGTCCAACTACGTTGCATTGCCATAATCCATATTCTATATTTGAAAGAGGTTGACTTCCTTGCTTCCCTCGTGATAAGATTTTTTTTTCATTGAGTCCCTTTCTCTTTGGTCCACAAAGACAAAATGTAGGATGTAGGATTGATGCCAACAATTCATCACGGAAGGAAAGACTCACACTGAGACGTGATTGCTAACTAATACTAATAGAAAATATTAATAGAATAGTTCGGTTCTCAGATTGAGTCACAGAAACTGTCTAGGCAAATCCATTCCCTCACGTAATTCCTTTTCTTATTAGGTCAAGTAAATAAATCTTTCTTTATATATATATATCTTTTAAAAATATAAATATCTATTTATGCTATTCATAGAAACTAAGCTATAAATTCGGTCACAATAAATGTGTAGAAAAATGAGAAATGTGGTGCTGTCAATACTTATAATTATTAAATATAATAGAGCTAGAAGAAAATTAATTAGTGTATGGAAATTTAGGCTAACATTGATTTAGAAACCCCAACCTCCATCACTTAAAAACTTCTCACGAAACCTACTAATTCAAGGTTTTAAGCTATTTTAACTACATCTTTCTAATCACTATCTAAATAATGAAACTCTGAAAGTTCAGGTCTCAACATGTATGCTTTTGCTAATATTTTTTACCATTTTCTTAATTATAATATTCATTTTTTTGCTAAATCTATTTCTTAAAAATTTTAAGAATAATGCTTAATTTGCTTTATATATGTGTGTGCACGCACAAAGTTTACTTAAAATTGACCTCTAATTGATTTTAATATTTATGGTCGTGTTCAACAACAGATTTTTAAGTCAAAATACTAAATGCTAGTTACTTTTTATAGTGTTCAGTGACATAGCATTTGAATCGACTTTTAGAGATTAAGGTAGCGTTTTGTGAAAAGTTAATTCATATAAGGTTTAACTTTTAGCGTTTCATAAAAAATTACTTAAACAGCTAACAGCTAAATTCTGCTAAAACAGCTAACAGCTACCAAACAACTAATTTCGCCTAACATAACCAATTATCTATGTTTAACTGAAACTATTGCATTGAATAAGCTATTGAGTGAATATAGGCGACGTGTTTGATGTGAGAAAAAATCTGTCATTAATTGCATTGAAACTTTTTTTTTTCCAATTCTCACATACGTCGGCCAAATTAATCTTTTAGTTGGAATTTCCGTTAAAATCGATTTGAAAATTAAATTTTGGATTAATTGTACGTGGTACTACCTCCGTTCCATAATACTTGTTACATTTGAAAAAATAGTTTATTACAAAATACTTGTCACATTTGTGGTTTCAAAGAGTAATAAATCTTTTTTTTTTTCATGTTTATCATTTGTATATGACCAATAATTATTACTTCAATTTAATTGTTTTCTTAGAGAATTAGTATTAAATTAATGGTAATATAGTCAATTTACTCAATCATTTATTGCAACTTAGACAAATTTAATTGTTTTCTTAAGGAATGTGAAATTGTAAATATGACAAGTATTGTGGAACAAATGTAGAAAATAAGTTTATGTAGTTAGGAATTTAGCTTTGTGTTTAGGTGTTTTCCTTAATAATAATTACTATTTTTATTTCATAATACTTGTTATGTTTGAAATTTTACATTCTTAAAACCATTAAATTTCTCTAAGTTATACTACCTATGTTCCATGATACTCGGCGCATTTGAGAAAATAACTTGTTCCAAAATACTTGTCACAGTTGTAGTTTCAAAGAGTAATAAATATTTTTTTTTCAATGTTTACCCTTTGTATATGACCAATAATAATTACTTTAAGTTAATGGTGTTTTTAAAAAATTAATATTAAATTAAAGGTAATATAGTCAATTTATTCGATAATTGATTGTAATTTAAATACATTTAATGGTTTTTTTAAGGAATGTGAAATTTCAAATGTTACAAGTATTTATAAAATAGAAGTAGTAATAAATTATCGAATAAACTGACTATGTTATCGTTAAACTCTCAAGAATTGAGGTATAGTAAATTGTGAATGGGTAATTTTGAGTAAATATAGTGGACTTAGGATAATTGTATTAAGATAAGGATTATGAATCCTGTATTATCTGTTAATTTGAACTTATTTATGAGTTTAATATCATTATTTTAATTTTATTTAATATTGTACGTTAACAATTACCCTTAATTTAATACTAATTCTTTAAAAAAATATTAAATTGAAGTAATAATTATTGGTAATATATAAAAATTAAACATAAAAAAATATTTTATTATTTATTAAAATAAAAAATATAAAAAATATTTTAAAATAAATGATTTTTTTAAACGTGACATGTATTATAGATAAGAGATAGTATATAAATCCAGGACAATGTTGTCTATTTATAAACAAAATCTTATAGCCCAACAGACAAGCAAGCAAAATTTCAGCATCTGTTGTCGTTTAAGTTATGAAAAAAACAGTAAATATGTTTTTGACACTGTATCAGTGTCAAAAAATTTATACTTGAACATATATTTCAATATTGGAGAAGGTAGAGTTTTATAAAACTTCAAAAAAGAATAAATTTATTAATCTAATTACAGAAAAGATTTCCATCTCCATTACTTTATTTTAGTCAATCATTATATATTATTAATAATTATTGAAGTAACTCTTTTTTTTTTCCCTGTTACAGCTTTTAGAAATTATGAAGGAGAGCTAATTTGATTTTTAATCCCTTTTTTCTATAAAATTATTTTTAAAATTACAGTGCAATTTATAAAATTAAATTTAAATAAGTAGAGAATTTCAAATAAGAGAGAGTGGACTCTAAAATCCTCCATTTTAATATATATAGACTTAAACACTAGTTAACCAAATGGGCTTTGACCCGTTAAATATGAAAATGGCCCACAGATTGGGAAATTGGATTAAGACTAATGGGCTATTTACATTTCGATTAGGCTACAGTACAAAGCAAAACGTGTTCGTTGGATCTAAGGCAAAGATTTCTCTGGAGAGCATTACATTACATGATCATTAAGGAAAGTTTTCCCTCTTGTTTACGAATGATAGGAAAAGTTTCCCTTCGCCTATTCCAGTAATTGTTATATGATAAATTAATTAAACACAAATTAGATGGGAAAAAAAAAAAATTCTAATTTATCATTCTAATACTTTCTCCCAATCCCAATTCATTTCTAGTCCTTAAGATAAGGATTAAACAAATTATTAATTTGCGCCCTCAATTTTGGAAAACATAATTTTAATTGATTAAATTATTTTTTTTTATCAATTTTCTAAATAATTAATGTTTATTTGATGGATATCTAAGAAATAAGAGTAAAATTAGAAAACAATTAATTAATTTGTAATTTAATTTTTTAAAATGATAAATGAAGTTCGACAAAAATAAAAAAATTAAAAATTAAATGACACTTAAAATGTAAGATTTCAAATTCAATGAAAAATAGCAAGATGAGATGAGTTCTTAAGTGTAATAATAATTGAATAATTAACAAGTGAAAAGGGCAATTATAAATTAATTAGTTGCTAATTAAACTCTCTCAATTACTTAATCCATAGGAACAAGACAAGGTAGGGCTCCTGTCATTATTTTTCAGTTGCCTTTTACTACTAGTAAAAGAAAATCCATGCACTGAAAGACATTATTATCCCTCCCCAAAACACCTGGTTCGCCTTTGGTCCATTGTTGTTGCTTGGAGTTGCCTTAGAATCAGAGCTTGACGTAGTACTGGTTTCAGAAGAAGAAGACGTTGATGTTGATGCTGAGGATCCAGAAGAAGCAGGTGGAGAATCTTTTGATGATGTGGTTGTAGAATCTGAAATACCAGCTGCTTCTTTGAAGATCTTTGCGTCTGGAGAATCTGGTGGGAGATTCAATATAGCTGCAACAACATCAACAAATTTTATTACAACCATCAGATGAAGACTTAAACAGACTTATATTTTGGGACAAAATTAATAATAATAATACTAACAAACCCTGAAGGATGATTGGTGGAGAATTAATTACTTGGGCAATCAGAGACTTTGGCATCTATATTGCAAACAGAAGGCATTTGAAGGGCAAGAGTGGTGTTGACAGGGAGACCCACGGAGGGGTCAGAACTTTCCTTGATAAGAACACACAAACATTTTGGCTTAGTGGATTTGAGTTTCTGGGTGTCTTGGCAGCACTCTGGTGTTGGCTTTTTGGCCGTGCCACTCACAAAAGGAATGCAAGATGCAAGATTTGTTAGCTGATCTGCACAATCCTGTTCATCTTGTTGCAGGGATCCCACAGATACCATAACTAATGATGCTACTGCAATGCAAAATATTCCTATCTTTTTCTCACTTGCCATTTTCATTTTCCTTTTTAATTTTCTTGTTGGGCTCCCACTCTATCAACCCTTTTTCTTTTGTGGGTTATATATATGTTGTGTCCCTCTTTGGGTCCTTTCGAGCTCTATAAGAAGTTATAGAGACCTGGTGTGTGTTGTTGGGGACTTATCTTTTGATTAAATGTAAGATCATATCTCTATTCTACTCTCTTGAAAAGCTGAATCATATATAGATATACAATGGATTTCAATTTTCAGTCTATATTTATTCTTGGAAGTCTAGATGGGTACGTGTTAAAAAATTACTAGAATATTGAAAGTGTAATTACAACGTGAATACATGTTTAGTTACTATCATAGACCAATATTAATTTTCATATTATATATGTAAAAATAGTTTAATAGTAAACGCACGTGTCGATCAAAATTTGATGATTTCATTCTCAATTGCTAAAAGAGAAACATTTAATATTTCACCAAGTCAAATTTAATTAATGGAGGCATAATCTGAGTTGGAAATTGTGCTACTGCTAAGGGACCAGATGAAATTGTAAATGAATGAATCAAAGTGCAAGTAATTCAATTCCATGATCGAATGGCTTATGGCTGCCTTGTTATGCAAAAGCCTTGAGAAATGCTATTCCAAATTCCAAGGAAACACCAAAATCTCAATCATTTATTCAGTTTCGAGATTCTCAATGACCCTAATTGCTATTGCTACTTTCTCTTCAAACTTCCAATTTAATTTATTTCATTAATTTAAATTTACAAAATTATTGTAGAGTAACAAATTTTTTAGTCTGAATTTTGGCAATTTTCCCCAAAATAATAATAATAATTTAAACCCAACAAAATTAGTTGGAAGCAAAAAGTTACTAAAATCAATAGATAGAAGTCCAGATACAGCTTCAGCTTCAATCTGTTTGTTTCACTTAAACAACAAATACCTCAAAATTAACAGATGCCATCCTTCTATGTACAATTTGTTGCCTTTTTATTTACATGTACAATTTGAAGAACGAGGCCCAACAAGAAAGGCATAAGACGAAAAAGAAAAAGGAAAAGGAAAGCTATTAAGATAAATTCACACAAAAATAACCTCACCTATTAATAGCAACCAAGGCGATAGGCCAAGTAAATATACAAATGTCCAGTGACACTATACATGAAGCAAAAAATTCCCCTTAAATTTTTCTCGAAAATTGCAAATGCTGCCTCAGTTGTCCAACTCAAACCCTGGGTGTGTATGAGAGCCAATAAAAATAAAATAAAATAAAATAAAATGGGAGCAAAGCTGTACAGTAGAGGCTATACAGAGGTGTAATGCTGTTTCTAAACTAATTTGTCAATACCACTCCTACGAAAGCTGATCCTGCTTCCCATTTGAGTCGAATTTGGTATGTGCAGGTGGTCTTGCTTGAGTTGGCTGTGGTGGTGGAGCTGTAAGGGCATAAGTCAGTCTAGATGAAGAATTCTCAATTAAACCAGCAACTCCCGCAGCTGCAGATTGGGCACTTGAAGGAAGGAAGAGATCATGTTTCTGGTCTTTATACGCACCCCAAACCTGCAAATTGGAGAACCAAAGGCATTTTCATCTCAGCAAAATGAGTTGTAAATCAGAATATCATACATCAATACTAGCAGGAGAAAAAAAAAAATATTAACACATAATTTATACAGGGCTCTTATAGTGCAGTAAACTACACTAGCAAGTAAATTGCAGGAGTTGATCATCAACATAATGCTTGAGAAAAGAATGCAGATGATACTTACATCAGAGGCATTTAATATCTCACGCACTTTATTACAGTGTGCTCCTTCTGTTGCAAATGCGTGCAAAACCTGAACAGCATCATCATTTATTAATTAAATTTGCAACTTAAGAAAGAAAAGCAAGAATGAACAGTAAAATCAAGAAAGAGGAGGCAAGTAACAGCTACTTCGCATAAATATGCATTAGCTACTTATCCAATAAAGGAATTTGCATTTGAGTGATTTGAAAAAGTGTCTACTACTTCCCACTTAATATAAAAGCTAAACAAAATAATGCTACAAAAAAAATGTTCAACCCCTAGTCAAAAGTTTCTCGAGTGATGCACAAACAAAGAAAAAAACATTTTACCACCGAAAACGAAGTTTCATGGACCACCGATTTGTTCTGCAACCTAACTTTTTATCCTTCCACTAGAATGAAAAAAAACAATTGAACATCAAATACTTCATAGAATTTCTCTCCCTTTTTCCTTTTTTCTTTTTTAAAATGCAGAGTGTATATTAGAAAGTCTAAAGTGAATCTGAAAGTATGTGGTGGTATTCAATAAATTCAACCAGAATATATAATTTGCAATTTAATTCAAATAGTTGTGCACTGTCAATAAGTGAAAATCAAACTGAACATCAACCAAAAAAAGAGCCTGAACGGTACAGAGAAAAAATAATGTCAAAATAACAATTATGACTACAAAAATTCTAACCTCAATTGCTAGCACCCTTCCAATTGATGCTTCTGATTCATTCCACTTCATCTGAGAGCACAGTCCATTCCTTCCCCCAGCCCTCCAGTCAAGAAGGCCAAGAAGTACTTCAACAAGACCAACCCTAAGTTGTCCATACAAATTTGTTCCAATATCAGAAAGAAAATTTTAGATTTAATATGACATTGTCATGCATTTATAAACTTTAATATTTGTAGAATATGCCTTTGAAACAATCATCAACAGGATAATAATTAATGTTGCAGTTGGGGAAATGCAAAGATCAAAATTATTTCAAACATTTTAGCAACACCTCAAAATTTAAGAAATTCCAAGTATACTATCTTCAGTTCAGTTCATATGAGGTGTTACAGGGTTTATTTGGTCTTCAATTTTGTTGGCCGTCTTCCCAACATCTTCTGCTTACACAAGTCTACCCATGAATTCTGACATAATTAAAGAAAAACATGGGCATTTTTTTATCCAACAGGTCATAGTTATTTAATTACCAACTCCATGCATAATTTCACGAGGAAACAGGTATCCAAATAATTTGCATCAGAAAAGTGCAGATCAAAGAAAATTGGCAACATAAAGCACTCAGTAAATTAATTCCTGATGAAAAAGAAAGAAGAAAAAGCTTACTTAAGTCCTTGAGCAACTAATGCATCCCGTGCACGATTTCCAGAAACTACAACACGTTTTAGTGTCTCAAGAGCTAGTATGCTCCCACCTTGCCACCCGATAGCTTTCATTAGAAGTGGAACAACCTGAAAACCAAACAGTAATAAGAGTGAGCCACAGGTTGCATTAAAATAAGTTAAACATTTTGAACATTAACAATGTGACCATAGAGACAGATTCCCTATCGCTTTCACAAACACATTTCGGAATGCTAATTGTGATAATATCAAATGAAGTAACAATCAATAAATTATCTAACACATTTTGTAACTTCAAAATCTAAAATTGCCTGCTGCAATTAAACCTTAAGAACCCATGTACACAAATGGCGAAAAAGAGATGCTACAATAACATTCAAGCCTGCCTAATAGAATTGGAGAACAGTAAATGATAATTAAGTGATAAGCCAAACCCACAGATTTCCCCCTTCCCCACCATCTCCCCCAAACCAACATGGCGAAAAAGAGATGCTACAATTTAACATTCAAGGCTCTGCTAACTAGAGATTGTCGAGAACAGTTAAATGATAAATTTAAGGAATAAGCAAACCCACAGGATTTCCCCCTTCCCCCACCATGCTCCCCAAACCCCCCCCCACCCCCCAAACAAAAAAAAAAAAAGAAAAAAAAAAAAAAAAGAACACGAAGAGAGAAAGAGGAAACTTTTGTTAAAAAAAAAAAAAAAAAAAAAAAAAAAAAGAACACGAGAGAGAGAAAGAGGAAACTTTTGTTCTCCTCAGCTACCTATCCTAGTATCTCCATCACAATCCTTCAGAACACAAACTTGAGAGGAAAACATCAGAAAACACACCTGAGGTGTTCCTGCACTAGTAGCTGCCATGGCCTCAGCACAGATTGTACTTGCTGCAAGTTGATGCAGGACACGCAAACAACTAAGGCGCACACGTTCCTGTGGAGTTTGTGTAGGTGGTATAGACCCATCATCAGACTCGTATGTTTTTTCTGTATAGTTGCCATTTTGCACCTCCTCTGATGCCATTGTTTCTCGTCGACCCTCATATGCCACAGCAGCCACAAGTTTGGGCACATACCCAAGATACCCAACATGATCTGCAAGTGCAGGGTGCACTCGCAATAACGAAACTAAAGCAGCAGAAAGAAGTAAAGGAAGCTCAGGATCAACAGCTTGTGTGTCATAATGCGTGGCAGCAATAGATGACAAATATTGATCCAACAGCCCTTCCAAGAATCTCTTTGGATTTCTTAGAGGAAATTTAGGATCCTTAAGGAACAGCCTCACATAGATTCCACCGACCTGCATAACAATGAAGTGTTTGAGTTCCCTCATAATTTGATTTTAGCAAATCAAAAGCATTGGAGCCTGAAATTCACATATAAATATAATAAGTCATACCTGTGGTTCATCTCTCATTTCCTGTTGTCCAGAAGCCTGCTCAGGGACATCCCAATCAACAATGCGACCTTTCATCTGCTCACGGTACAAGTCGGATGCCATAGTACCAATTTGCGCAGATAAAGATGCTGCCATCGCTGGGGTCCATACAAGCTCTGGTGTCTCTGTCGTTTGTTCAAGTGCAGATACAACAGCCTCACCAGGGCCGTCCCTAATAACTGATACCAGGCCATCTGGAAGAAACCTTGCTAGTGTTATAGCTACTCTGGGCCCATGCATTGGCTGCCCAACAAGCTTCCCCAATAACGAGGCAGCTGCTGCTCTCTGCTGTAAGGGAATATCCTCTGCACATCATCATTACAAATTAATAACATGATGCGTTCAAATAATTCAAAAAAGGTATGACAAAGGAAAAATAATTACTTTGTAGAGGCAAGAGAAGTTCCAGAATGTACACCACTCCGCCGTGCTTGGCAGCTGCCCAAGCAAGCTCTGGAGTGCTTGCCAAAGCATAAAGAACATGAAGAACCCCTTCACGACAACTTGGCGCAGAGTGGAGCATTTGTAGTAAAAGGAGAAGACTTGACCCATCTGCAACCATGGCCTCCAAGCAAGGAGCATATGTAGTCAAGAGAGAAAGAACAGCGAGGCAAAGTTGAGGAATGTTGGTCTCTGGTGCAACAGGTACAGAAAAACATTCAAAAAGAGGTAGTAGCTTTTCTTTAGAAGAAAAGATGGAAGCCAGATTTGGACTGCTTGTCAGTAAGTTCTGTCAATAAAATAAGAACTGTCAGGCACATACAGCTAATGAGGAATTAATATGTGCAAGGAAGTAGTGTACCTTAAGTGAAGTCAATCCCAGTTTAAGGTTTTTGACTGGTTTCAACTCTTCTTTATCTGTTGATTTTTCATCTGAAACTGCCAATGAATCATGGGGCACTTGACCATTTTCAGATACTTCAGCATCACTATTTTGAATCTCTGATGTGTCAGGAGATGAGCTGCTGGAATTAAGTTTATTCTCAGCATCTTCAGATTCCGCACCAAATTGGTTGCGCACTAAAAATGATATGAAATCAATTAGAGCAACACAGAATCCTTCTGGTTCACTGATCTCAAAGTCTGGCTGATCATTATAGACCCTCAAGTAGACATTGCCAATGAAAAGTTCTTTGGATAGTGCCTTATATTTAAAGGTTTGTGAATCTGTTATGTCATATGAACCATCAGGCCCCATGCTAGCACGCTGCTGATCAACAAATTTCAGTAGTTCTGCTCGAGTTGAAGAGTTCCAGATAATCTATGACCACAAGCATTTAATAAATTAATTGTTGTTTTTAAAAAAATTGACTCAATGTTCATGCCAACAGCTAAAATAAAAATGCCAAAGTAATGTGATTGATTTAATTTACAAGTGCCCCCCATCAATACAAATTGATTTAGCAGAAGAATATATGGTGTGCGATGGGTTCAATTATTCAAATACAGACATTCTGCATATTCACAACAAAGCTGCTCTTCTCAGAAACAATAAGTCCTGAATAGGTATTGGCTTTTAGAGATATATTACACATGAAATAGAAGGGAGAAGATGTAACAGGCCTTGGTAGATAATAATTCTTTTCTCCGCCTTTTTCCTTCCACATCCTGTTTGTTATCCATAAACTTTGGTTTTTATCCAAAAAACTATTAGATAGGTGCTTTGGTTTTTCTAATACAACTTAGGACATGTTTGGTTTAGTTGTTCATACCCACTGATATAAATGTTGTGTTTGGTAAAATTTTAATAGCAGTTGTTGTTAATAAAATGATCATTAAGGGTATAATTGTTTTATATGTCATAATGTATAATGTATATAAATCGTTTTTAATTTTTATGATGAATACATTATTTTTTTATTTTAATGTGATATAAATAAAAAAATTAATACAATTTTTTAAAATAATATTTAATAGAAAATTATTATTTTTCAATAACGATAAATAAAATGATAAAAGAATATTAATTTTGAAAAAAGTTAATTTTATTAGTAATTATTTTTTATGAGGTTAATAAAGTCCAAATATAATATAAATACAAACCAACTTACAACTAATACAAAAAAGCTCTAATACATAGCTCATGGAATCAAGTCAACAATTTAACTGTTGGATATAAATCAACGATTAGCTGTGAATGAATTAACAGAACCAAATGGTCTCTCGTTATATGTCAACTTACCATGAACCTTAGCTAATCCTCACTGTATATCTACCACAAAAATATACTCCCCCCGTCCCAAAATGTTTGTCCATGTTTCCATTGTTGGATGTCCCAAAATGTTTGTCCACTTGACTTAAGAGATATTTACTTTTCCTTTATACCCCTCATTATAAATGGTTTTAGATTCTAGGAATAACTTTTTTTAGTTTTAAAGGATAATTTTGAAAAAATATGAATATTTTGTATGATGTGACACTATAATTAATGTGTTTCTTAAACTTTGTGCAAAAGTCCACAAGACAAACATTTTGAGACAGAGGGAGTAATTGATAAAGCATTCAAAAAATGTCAGCCAAGCGTGTATATGCACATGGATGCACGTAATATGTAGCCTATCATGCAACAATATTAAATATTCACAGGTCTTGAGTACTTTTTGCTAAAATCATTGATAGCTATGTTGCACGGAAACTTCCTTTGGCTGCCATTTCCGCGTTTCAGAAACGTTTCCTGCCCGGAAACGCTTGGAAATGTCTCGGGGCCGTTTCCGTAAATTGAGTAATTTGGAAACCCGTTTCCCCTCTCCAAATACGTTTCCGTATAATGGAAAATCTCAAAAACTCATTTCTCTAATTAAAATAAAAGCATAAATAAATACAAATTCATAAAACATGTATTTTTTATGAGTATGAAACTTGTAATTTTTTTGCATATGATTAATATTGATTGGACTTTAACTTGTTATTGAATATATTTAATGGTTTATATTATTTTATCAGTATCGAACACTTGTATTTTTTTGCATATGAACTTAAATATTGATAGTGGACTGTTAAACCTTGTATATTGCAGAGTATATTTTTAATGCGTTTTATGAATTTACATAATCATTTTATATTTACTATATGCACCCTTATATTTGTTCAATATTTCACCATTTCCGTTTCCCGGGAGTTTCCACGCTTCACGTATTTCCGTTTCTTATATTCTTAAAAAAAATACGTTTCAAACCGATTTCCGCTTTCGCGTTTCCAACCTTCACGTTTCGGTTTCCATGCAACATAGTTTTGAACAGTTTTTTACCCTCCTGGAGACTCAAGTTCGTGTTTAATTTGGGATAGCAAGTCCTTTGGTAACTGATCTTTCTACATGCTTCAGAGTTTAGGATTACGCAAGCGCCTCTAGCACAATCAGCAAGCTGCTGCATTATACGAGGAGTTGAACTTCAATCAGAGCACAACCACTAAGTCTGATAAGGCTGAGAATGCTCGAAACAGCATAGTGCATTAATTAATTTACTGTGGCCAATTATGAACACGAGAAACCCGACACCCACTGTGATTCAGACTCTTCAAGACTCGGTCCTCGGCAGTGTGAGTCATCACTGAAAGTAAGTAATGGCAAAAGATACTAAAAAAAAAAAAATAACCAAATTAGATATTAGTACGCGTTTCCACGCTTCCACGTTTCCGTTTCTTATATTTTAAAAAAAATACCGTTTCACCATTTCCGTTTCCGCGTTTCCACGCTTCCACGTTTCCGTTTCTTATATTTTAAAAAAAATACCGTTTCACCATTTCCGTTTCCGCGTTTCCACGCTTCCACGTTTCCGTTTCCATGCAACATAGTTTGACAGTTTTTTACCTCTGGAGACTCCAAGTTCGTGTTTAATTTGGATAGCAAGTCCTTTGGTAAATGATCTTTCAACATGCTTGCAAGTTTAGGAGTTAGCAAGGCTCTAAGCACATCAGCAGCTGCTGCATTATAAGGAGTTGAACTTCCATCAGAGCACAAACCACTAAGTCTTGATAAGGCCTGAGATGCTCGAACAGCATGCATATTTTTTGCAATTTGAACACTAGAACCGACACCATGTGATTCAGACTTATCAGACTCCTCGGCAGTTGAGTCATACTGAAGTAGTAATGGCAAAAGATACCTAAAAAAAAAAAAAATACCAAATTAGATATTATAAGTTTTAGGTATCTATAACAGCGTAGATGGTCTAAGATTTGACAGACAAAATGAAGATTGAGTGAAAAGGGCACTAAAAGCAATGAAACCCCCTAATTTAGTTAAAAAGAGCTGAATGGAGAAGAATGATCGACAAACAAATTCTGATGCATGACCAACCTATGTTGAACCACCTCAGCCGAAAACCAACCTATGTTGAACCACCTCACCCGAAAAAGAAAGGAGGAACAAGAACAAAAAGAAAACCTCAAACATAACTTAATATAAATAAAGTTGAAGCAACATAACTCTTCAAGGTTTTCATACCTACACGTTCATCCAGCCAAATTACATTAAAAGCAACATAGATTTACGCAAGCCTTGACATCTAACAAAATAATAAAAGCTGGATGTCCCATAATTTAGCTACTATAGAAATAATATGATCCATTGCAAGTTCACAACAAATACTTCACTTTGGACCTTTAAAAGTGAACCTTGCGTTCCTTTTACCAAAAGGCAACTTTAGCATTCACAAGTCTGAGCTGTCTAACAGAAAGAATATCCAATGGTATAGCACTGAAAAGTATGCATGAGACCACCTCAAATGGAATGAGCATAAGCATGTTAAAGGCGCCAAAGGTGCTTATTTCATCCAATTAATAGAAGTGAAGATGCAGCTAATTCAGGATTAGCAAAACTTGAAAACAATAGATACACATATGCACCCACAGTGCCTTCATTAACTTACCAAAGTACACCTGCCTTCAATAAGGCGTTCTGCAAGCCAGAGGTCACAGAAACATGTGCAATAGTCTGGAGGGCAGCATCCACAGCATCAGGCACAAGCTCAAGTTCAGTGCAGTGCACAATGTCATCAACTAGTCCAGATAATTCAAGCATCTCAGCCCTTGCACTCTCAAACTGACTCAAAACAGAAAAGGTTCGCATCACATTTGTAACAATAATGGCGGATGGTTCACTAGCAGAAGTAGTTGGCTGAACTATGCACATGCAACGAGAAAGAAGAATTGCAAGGAGTTGTATCCCTCCATCCCTTACAAGCTCCTCACCATTTAATGAAGAAGATGCACACCTAATTATTAAAAATCATAGAGAGAAGAGAAGCCTGTCAAATTCTTTTGAAATTCATTAGTAAATGAAATGTAAAGAACAAGAGCAGAAAGGGGATTTACGTCAGCCAAGTAAGCTCTGATGCTGCAACAAGCAAAGGTGCTCTATCAGAAGAAAGAAAATTGTTGTCATCTTGGTCAACTGTAACTGCATTAAGCAACATGGGATAGCCAGCATATTTAAAAGGCTCCAGTACATCTCCATATCTTCGGTATAAGATGCATTGTCCTTTCAATAAAAGCAGTAATCTCCAAGGCTGAGGACCTTGCAAGCCTTGCATGGTAGCCTATAAAGAGCAATACAGGTATAAATTTATTAGTAAACCAGAGGTCCAGAGCAGAAAGCTGAAACTGAATATCTTTAACCTCATAATCCATAAGGAGTAACTCATGTGAATCATGAACTTCTATGGACTAAACATCTTTATACATCACTATAAGTTCCTATTTAGGCAACTTAAGTTTTCTGCAAATTGACATGGTAACGGATTATACATTTATATAATTGTGAATACCTGAAGGCGTTCATAAGCTTTCTGCACAGCAAGAAACTTCTCCCTTCCCTCAGGGTTCTTGTCAGGATGGTATTTCATTGCAAGTTTCCTATACTGTCGCTTCAGCTTTTCTTCATCAATGTTCTCAATCTGCTTCGATATGGTAGTTATCTCCTCAGAAGTCTCAAAAGAATATTTCTTTTTGGCATCATCACTTGAGACATCTTCCAGTGATATCTCTAATATTCTGCAAGCTTCTTCTTCAGAAAGATCCATAGGTCTTCGTGTTAACTCTTCACGCCACATTACCAATAATGATTGCAGAAACTCAACATGTTCAACAATTGGCCAATTGGGAAAGCGAATCTCATCACATAAGTTCCGAAGATAATAACGGTGACACCACATTTCATCTCTTAATTCTGGGTATGTCACTGGCGGCATGGGGGCATAGTCATATAAAGAATGACAGTGCTGTGACAATTTCTGGGGAAAATCGCCCAGATGCTGTAAAACCTGCTGGAAAGGAAGGAGTAAGCTGTCATGAATATACAGAATAAGTGCCTGTTCACATATATCCTCTCGATTAAAGGATAGACCAGCAATGTAATGTAGCACAAACCACATACTGCCGCTTTTGAAGTTTATACATACCTGACGAATAAGATGTTCTGCCCGCATTTTGTGTGTCCATATAATCTCTGGAGTATCAGAATCTGAAACCATTGCAGCTGCAAATGCAGCTGGACCACTACGCTCGAGTACATACAGCAAGGATTCAGGGAGAAGGCCACCCAACACACTGCGTTTTGCAAGGGGCAATGACGAGGAAAGAGCAGCTTCTTCACCACCATGGAATGCTTGATGGACATGAGTCACAGAAAACAGTTGTGCAATGGAGTGGAGATTGGATCCAGGGTATGCAAGTGCAAAGTAGAATGCACCTGTGCTGTAAAGGCGCACCATAGCCTTAGGATTTCTGGTAACAACAGCCTTCAGCAGTGCTGCAGCAGCCTCCACTATATTTGGTTCCCCAGAAAGCATAGCCTATGTGAACAAAGAGTTAATGAACAAGCTGGACCCTTTGAATTAATGGTTAAAATGACAAGGAGATCAGCTTCTTAAAAGGAAAATTATATCATTCATTGTAGATACTAGCAGTTTGGTGTTGATCTTATGCTTTCAATTAGTATTATTTTAGATTTTGTTGCAAAAAGCGGTTTGAAATGGCTGTTTAGCAATTTTAAAATTTTTATGACCAAAAATGAAAAATTGACCTTAAAGATAATATTTAATAGCTTTAATCAGATTATCTCAAATCATGTTTTTTCCAATAGCAGCCACAATAAAACTGCCACCCTTAGAAAATCTTCTAAAGTTATCTAAAAAAGAAGATTCCAAATCCCAATCAGAATATTTTTAGCTCTCCAAGTACGTCACAAAGTCATGAATACATTCACACAGATACATATGTATGTCTGATTAGAAGACAATATTAAAACCAGTATTGAATTAGCATTTAGGAAAGTTTTCTCAGGTAATAAGCATTTAGGCAATTTTTTTTTCCTTAAAAAAATATCAGGAAATTACCTGAGCAATATGTGGAAGGCAACGCGGACTTGACAATATACGTTTTACCCTTGGTGTTGGGGTAACTATCTCTCCAGCATCATCTAAGTCTGAATGTGCAGATACCATGCTATGTAATATGGACAATGCTGCATCCCCTACCTACGTAAAATATCCACCAACAAACACAAATAAACAAAAATGGTAAAAGAAGAAAAATAAAAAGTCTAAGGATGTAATGTTTACAGAATGTGACAAAAGGAAACCACAAAATTAAGCAAAAATAGTCCATGCACCACAAAGTTATTCTAAAAAACAATAATCTATCGATCTACAACAACAATAATTTAAATTATACATAGCAACAAGCTTTCTGTATGTTACAATTTATGCATGGATTTTGCTTGAATTACAACGGAACATATAATTAACCTAACAAAATCGAATTGCCAAGTGTATTTGAGCCTCGGATAAGGACGTTATGCTCACTACAGACAGCAGCAAGTGCCAGCAACCACAATAAAGATCAGAATCAAGATATGCCTAATGAGACCTACCTGAGATGACGTGAGGACTGGAACACGAATGGCCAATGCCCAGCGAAGTTCACGAATATCACGCAATCTCTTCCACTCCACCATCCCAGATGCCCAGCACTTTGTTGTCCAGTCAATTTCTTTCTTTGACCAAAACCTTCTGATAGCGTCCTTCTCGACTGGTCCAATTTGTGCACCATCCTTGCCAAGAAGCATCCACTCTTTAAGTGGTTCCATAAAAGCAGTGGCAGCTAACAAATTAGACTGTAAAGGAATAACAGTCCTTTCTGAAGCTTCATGAACCACTGTCAGCAAATCAACCGCCAATACGCACCCTCCAACCAAAACACATGCCTCAACATTAGATAGAACCTTCATTAAAACCTGCATTTCAGAAAATATTGATAATCAATAACCACCACATCAAGTTCAAAATTTGGACTGGAAGTATTACTTTAGGTCCTCCAAGTTTTTCAGCCATTACTTTATCATGTCACTTGGATTGTCCAAATTTGAGAATACTGCTTTTTAATTGGTTAAATTGCAATTTCTTACAAGCACTAAATGGGAATCACATATCAATAAGAGGGCCCAAAACTTCCAGGTCATTTACTCTCTCCCTCTTTCTATCTCTCTCATGTATGCATGCACATGTGCACAGGGTTTATAAGTTCAAATCACATTATTCAGTAATCATATCAAATAGATGAATCGGAGGAAGAAACCATTATGAATCACCAAATAACAATTAACTAATATACCTTCAAAAGGAGGAGAAGACGATGCCTCAAAGCTCTGTCATCTGTCCTATCTAAAAGAACTGTAATATGTGCAGCACCCTCAAAAGGACCAATTGTACTGAAGTGTTGTTCATAGACAATGGCCATTGCTCTGGCACAAAGCTCCCTTACTGAAGAGCCTCCCCCTCCCCCAAAACCATCTAATCTTCCCATATCACACCAATCATCAGATGCACCCAATTCATCAGGAACGGCACCATCCACAGTAAGCCCTGTATCTGCATCACATAAAAACCGATGATAGAGTGCCCTAAAGAAAGCTACAGGATCACGCAGTGGAAAATCTTGTGCTCTACCACTGCTGCCACTATCAAGTAGCAGACGCAGATAATATTGCCCCACACATACTTCTTTGGACAAGCTAGGATAACTGACAGAGAACTCAGAATAGTTCCAAGATATCTGTGGCACACTATCTTGCCCAGTCAGTGTCTCAACTGTAGCCACTCCAGGAACAATGTCTTCACTACGTTCCTTCTCAACATCTAGTTTATGAACCTCAGCCTGCAAAGCCTCCCTCAATTCTTGCCTTGTGCGCTCATTCCAGATTAGATCTGCACGATTGTGGTCAAGGCTGAATGCTCGCCAAAATTCATGCCAATTACAAAGTAGCCGACCAGAACCCACTGGTGTATTCTCCACAACCACCTGTGCAGGGGCTGGGAGGCCTGTGTTCTGGAGACCAGCCGCATTAACATCAGATTCAACTGAATTAGAAGCACTTGGTTCTGCCTTTTCATTTATATTGGTTGAAGATGTATCAGCTGAAGGAAGCAAATTGTCACTGTGCGAAGGAATATCACTGGTCAAGTTTTCAACCGTGTGAATAGTAGAAGGTTGTCCAGAATTGAGATCCACTACAGATTTTTGATAGCTATCTAATCCTTTAAAACCAGCAGAATTTGGCTGCCTTACTGGATCACCAACTTCATAATTACTAACGTTAGGTATGGGATGTTCTTGAGCAGTAATTCCTCTACCTGCACGGCCTCTCCGCTGTTGAAGTAAACGTCTCTGTCTCCTACTAACCAACGATCCTTCTTGATTTGCATCATCTAATTGGACTCCGTCAGAACGTGTGCGCAAATAAGCAACAAGCCCAGGAGGCAGAACCCGAGACAACAGATCTAAAGCTGGTTGATAGGAATCGGCCCAAAGAGCAACAAGTTGTCGGCTAACATCACGTCGCTCACCGGCAGGAAGGTAAAAAGCATGCAATAAATGCCTCAGCAAAGCACCATCACGCAGAGCAGCATCACGCATAGATTCTGCCGCAATTGCATCTTCTTCTGCAATAGTACGCATGATCACGGCAACCGTTTCCCTTACACTTTCAGCAGGATGCGCAAACAATGCAAATAACCGCCGCCGCAAACCAGCCACTTGCCTTAACAATTCAACAAAAACAGTGTACTGGGTAGTTTCACCATGTGGTTCACATATCATAGCCTCAAGAACTTCAACAACAGCCATTGACAATAAGGGTGATACAGACATAGGTTTCAACCTGTTTGCAAGGATAATAATATAACCATTATGAGCGAACAAAACGGACTTTGTGTGCATTATTGTGGCATGCCTCTCTCCCTTGGTATCTGTTAACAAACTTGGATCCATAGGACCACCACCAATAAGAGCTGCAACAAGCCCTGCCGCTTCAGCAGCTACACCTTCAGAACCATTCCTAAGTAGACCCATAATTCTTCCAACAGCAGCAGGAAAAGACATCACATGTGAAGCTGCAGTCCTTGAAGCCAATAATCTACGTAAACAAGCAATAAAACCCATAACTGTTGCAGCTGCTTTAGGCGAAGGAGGTGGCAGAGGAGGAGACTCTGGAGGAAGATTTGGTGTAGCTGGAAGCATTGTGATCAAGGCCATCAAAGTTACCTCAGGCACTTCAATATTATGAGGAACTCCCGTATATGGAACACAAGCATTGAATTCCCTTATTCTACGCCACAATTTAGCTCTTGAACCAGGGATTGAACCACCCTCAGCAACAGCATCTTTAGCAGCAGCAGCTAAATGTTTCAAATGCATGGATGCACTTTCCATGTCGGCAATAGGGCGCTGTGATCCGACCAATAAATGAACTCTCCCACAAGGTGGATCAATACGATGACCAGGCATTGTCAGCCTTGGTAATATAGGTACTGGGCATTGACCCTGCATAAGTAGACCATACAAGTCATCTAAACAGTAAACTTCCCGGGCAACTAATTTGCACTAATGATAAACTGATTGGCTCATCAAATGACAACCATGGCAATTGGCATATATGATCACTTTGCAGAACCATATTTCAAAATATTTTATAGCTAACAAAACCTATCAATATCTAACAGGGTACAGATATACCTACTTCTGTTTGCAACACATCTCGAACTGCTGCGAGTAAACTATCACGAGACGTGCTTGCATAAACCTACATGTATGTCATAGACGTTACAAACTTTTCACCACAGAAAATCAAAATTTCAGAATAAAAGCTATTGGTACTCACATGGATAGGACAACCATCATTGAACTCAATAGCAAACATTTGGGGCTCCTCAGCAAATCGAACAAGCGAGCTTACTGCAGATAAAGGACGGACAATAACAGCCTGCAGACATCTAATCAAAATTCTCAGCATTTGATATGTGAAATATATGTGTGTGTGTGTGCACGCGAGCGTGTGTGTGTGCACGCGAGCGTGTGCGTGTCATTTCCTATCCATAGAACACATAATGTGTTTATCTCAGACATAAGGCATGAGTAATGAAGCAACTATTCTAGCATCTACTTCAATCTCAAAAATTTTTGTAATTTTTCATCAACTTACTTCATAGTTTTCTGGCCGCCTTTCAACAATCGAAACCTTTGTTAGAATGAGTTGACGAGATACAGCATCACCATGCTCTCCAAGTCCACCTTTTGGGCCAACTCCCAAACTCAATCCAGGAACATTTAGAGTTCCATGAGCAGCAGAACGTAACCTTGTTACAGACCAACCCCCGCAAGGGGTTTCCTCTGCTCCAACTGCTTCCTTCACTAAATTTATTTAACAGGCAAATGCATTAATTATTAAAAATATGACCAGTAAAGAAAGCTGAAAAAATATAAAACAGAAAACAATAACAAAAGTGTTCACAATAGCTACCCCTTTGCTTGATATACTCCAACACAGTAAGGGTTTGAGAATTGTCCACAGATAGTATTATCCCAACTGTTGACTTGGCAGTTTTAGTCTGTAACAGAACATTCAGAATTAGTATGAGTGTCAATTCAAAATGCGTTCGGCAACTGCCAAATCAGTATGAGAACAGCATGCGGCAATTTTGACTCATAAAAAGATGGACCTCAAAACAAATATTCAACTTTACACAATCAGTAAACACTGTTCCCGTACATTTGGCATGAAATTATAAATTAATTGTTAAAGATACAATTCTTACCAAGTTTGAGATAATTGCAGAGTTAGTGGTTCCTGAAGCAGCTTGAAAAGCTTTAGACTTCCTTCCATATAAAGGGCAAAGAACAAAACCTCCACAATCACTTGCTTTCTTTCCATAAACATCGGAAAGGGCAATAATGGCAGGGGAATTCATATCTCTAAAATCCAAGCACCAGCGTAGATCCCCAGACTTTAAGTCAATCAATTCAACCCCAATGTGAGTAACTTTCAATTTCTGTACATGTAAACAGTTATCAAATCAGTAGCTTGAAAGAGGATATTAGATCATGTACCATGATGACCTAATCTTAGATAGAAATGAAAAACAGCAATCTAACTAGTTCATGTATATTAGAAGCAATTGCAATGAGGTTTCAGTTTGTTCCTCCATTTTGAAAACTAGAACCAAGGGGTTGATTTAAGTACAGGAAAAGGATTAGCCTTGGATATTCCTGATTATCTCAACTCAATAGAAGTTGAATGGAGATAGTAAAACACTACCAGCCCAAGAGTATATTTATACTCGGTTAGGCATAGATATTGCAAGTAGCAAGTCATTCATCTGAGTTCTTGAAAACTATTGGCAATTTGACAGCTTAAGAAAGGATGCAATTTTGTATTTCCGGTCCCCTATGGAAGGAAATATAGAAACATGCCTAGTTAGTGAAAAATATAAGACTAAAGCACTCATGACAAAGATTAGTATCCAAACTCTATTTGGTCCTTGATAGAATAGTGAATCCAACTTCTCAAGTTTCCCTTTTCTTTAAAATTATCAAACCAAGAAAAAAAGGAAAGAAATTCAAACTTTAGGAAACCTTCAATTCCAGATACATCATAGCTTCTCATAAACAAGAAAAAACATCAAATGCCAAACATTGCAACAGTCAAACACAGACCAATATAAAAGAAAGTCCAATACTTTAAAATTGAGAGAGACTGGGACAAGGGAAAGAAAAGGCACTTACAAAAGGAACCCAATTGCCATTTTTTCGCTTCAGATGAAGAACAGGGAACTCCGCCACAGCACTAAGTCTATTCCACCGAATTCTATACAACTCAGTCAAAATACTAGCCCTATACCTCGACGAAAACTTCATCCCTTTAAATTTACCTTTCCCGTCAGTCCTCACACTCAAATTAAACTCATTCGAATTCTCATCGCGTCCAATAATCGGAGACGCGCCGTCAAAATCACTCCCCACATCATAAGAGTTAGTAACCGAGAGCGTATTAGGGTCCAAAGTAATAATCGAAACATTAGATATACACAAAATCCTCTTATACCTACCTCGCCATGAGTGCTTAACGACGAGGTAACGGGCAAGGTACTCAGGCTCTTCCTGAAGAGGAGGGGCCGAATTGGAAGAAGCACTAGAAGGAGGAAGAGTAGAAGAATTAGATGGTTCCATTGAAGAAGGGCGAGAGTGATCAGGTGCGTGATAGGTCACAGATTGTAGATTGTGGTGGTGTTGCTGTTGTTCTAGGTAGTGAAGGGTATGGGTGCGAGGGGCATTGTTGGAGCGGCTAAAGAACCAAAGTCCCACGCCGGGTTGGGGGTGAGACCGAGACTGATTCGCACCCAGTTTTCGGCTGTGATTACCGATTCGCCACTCTGATTGGATGGATCGCTGGAGAAATTATGAAATCCAATTGACATGAAAATAATAATAACAATAACAGTAATTTAGAGTAGAATAAGAATTAAGAAGAAAAAATTGGAGATCTTAATTTAGGGTTCATGAGCTGAAATAATGGAAAAAGAAGAGAAAGAGAGGCAGCTAGGACGACAACGACGAAGAAGAAGTTCCTGCTATGTTGGCGCTGGTGCTGGTGCTGTTTGAGAGACCTTACTGTCAAAAGTTTTTGCGGGAGGGCCGGGGATTGTTCGAGTTACCTGTCGGTGAGTTTTATCTCTTACTATTTGATGATCTGGCATAAATCTTTATTTGTGAGAAAGTACAAATTAGCCTCTAAATCATAAATCAAATTAAAAAAACAAAAAAACTACTGACTGGGTTACGGAATTATATTTTTCTTAACACTTTAATCTTTTTGTCCAAAGTATAAAAAAAATATTAGAGATTGAAGCAGCGCAAATATACAACAAATCTTGAGCTATCCGCAAGGACGAGAATAACTCAGGATCATTTTAATATCCACATCCGAACTCAATTATAAATTAAGTAATCGAATCTATTTTAAATTTATTTAAAAATTTATTTTTATTATCTGAACTCATCCCAAGTGCGATTATAATTACTCATTTAAAATTCAAATTTATTTAAATACTCGTTTAGCATTACAAATATTTTTTATTTTTTAAAAATAAAAAGCAAGTAAAATTATAAAATTATTTATTTTGACTTAATATAATATAAATTAAGTATAATTATATATATATAATTTTTTTTAAAAATAATTATTTTAAATATTTATTAAATGAGCAACAGGTAGGAGGTACCGGAGTCTTGAACCCAAACCCGATTTGAACTCAAAAGGGATAGTAAAGATGCTACCCTAACCCGTCCCAAACCTATTTATTGACTATCTAAACCTGCTAAAATCGAATCGAGTACTCACCGGATCGAATAAAATTGTCATCCCTGCTATCTGTAATCATATGCATTTAGAACTTTACTTTTAAATAGGTAAAGTGTTCGCAAACTTTAAATTATTCAAATTCAAACTTATTTTAAAAATATATTTTATTAATAATTGGTAGAGATACATGTGAGTACCCATGACTAAACTCGTTTATTATGACGAGTAACAAGTAGCAGGTACCCAAACTTATACCTATAACTTACTTGTATTATTATAAGTAGTAATTTCATTATTTATATTGGTCCCAAATCCATTTATAATTACTCGTATCTCATTAAACAAATCGAAGCGGGTGGATACCCTAAAATACAATTTACACTTCTATCTCTAGAACAAATGTTAACAAGATTATTAGTTAAATACTTTATAATTAGTTTTCAAAAATAGAGGGACTTATATGTTAATTTGACTATATTTTATGGACCAATTTATATTTTGTTATCTTAAACTTTTTTTTATATAAGATCATTTTCGTATTTTTTAGTCAAACGAAACTATTTTAAAAAATAAAACAAATCATAATTTGCCAATCAATTTATTTTTTTTTCCTTATTTGTTTAAGGATAAAAATAATTTAATACGGTCACCGTTATGGCCACAATTTATTAATTAAGAGAAAATAATGAAAATAAAGTATTTTCTTATTGTAAAATAAAATTTAACAAACATCACAATACTAGAGTCCCTCGTATGTTACGGATCAAACTATATGTTTCTACCTTAAATCATTTTTTATATAAGGTTAATTTTGTCTTTTTCATTTAAAAGAAATTATCTTAGGCAAAATAATCAAAATATTAATAAAATTATAATTTTATGACCAATTTATATTTTCCTTTATTTTTTGAGGAGAAAATAATTTAATATAAACGGTTCTTATTGGATAAGAAAAAATAGTATTTGGGATCAAATTATTTTTTACTGTAAAATAAAACTTTAACAAACATTATCATACATTCAGTAGTTATGAGTGAAATTAGGTCAATCATAAAAATTAACTATTCAATTGATGGATAGTACTTATCTATAATTGGTGTATTAAATCAGCCATATATCAATTTTTAAAAAATTATTATTATTGTTTTGTTCATAATTTTTTTTTCCAATGAATGATAATGAATATCCTCATTTTCATTAATTTAGTTAATTTATAAATTTTAATTTGAGAGAAAGACTTACATTCATTCAATGAATTACGGATCTACACACCAAATCAATCACATACTAATAAAAGTGAAGATTAATGTAAATTGGATAATTAGATAATTTTCTAGCATAAAGTGATCAATAAATTTCATCTAGTGATATTAAAATTATTTTTAGGATTGTGAAGTTATTAATTCATTTTTTTTTTAATTAAGGGGAACTAAGATTTTAATATGGATTTATTGTAACGTCGTACATACACTAGCGACTAAGTTATGTTTCATTGTGCAATTAAATCAAATTTTAGTTGACGAATAATTAGATTTTTATATATTTTATTTTTCTTTTTTTGTTTCCCTATTTTTCAAATAAATAATATTTTAGACTAAAATTCCATTAGTTTTTAAATTTTAAGTTATCTAATGTTTTTTAAATTTTCTTAAATTTCTCATAACTTTTTATACGGTAAATTCGAGGGTAACATTTTATCTAATGATAATATTACTCTATTTTATAATCTGTAGGTCCTCTTCTTGAAGTCGAGTCTACATAAATAATATGATCTCCTTAATAAAATTAAAAACATATAGATAAAGTTTTAAATTTTAATTTGTCTTTATTAGAATATAAAAAACAAGGTGTTATTAATGATTAAATTTCAAATGATGTTTATAGCTTAAGACACATCATTTTATTGCTGGGTATTAAATTTGTTATTAAGCTTCATTAATAATTTGCACAACACAGAATTTTGCATCAATTTTTATTAAAAGAAAGGGACTCTACACAGTCACTTTGTTAAAAAGCAAAGTCTGTAACCGATAAGGACAATGACCCAACCTTGTCAAAATTGGGTCCCATCCCAAGCTAAGTAGGCAACTAAAGATGGAAAAAACTTGAATGGATCCGGTCCATATCCGAATTATGAACGGACCAAATGAAATTAAAGATTTTATAAAGAGTATTTAGATTTTATTTTTTTTAAGTGTATTATTAGAAATATTATTATTTTAATAAAAATTTTTAATTTTATTAGTTTGGTGTACGAGTCGAGTCATGGATCTAGTCTATATAAGTTTTTTCTATTAAAAATAGATATTAAATAACCTAAAGTTTATAACTGGAGAATCCAAATGAATTATAGAGTTGTAGATTAATAAAGAAATTGTAAATCACCCTCGGCTAAGATGGGATGACACGAGACAGTTAAAAAAAGAAATTCTAAATTCTAGTCTAGGGAACTGAAATTTTATACTGGTTTATCACTTATTATTAAAGAAAAATTTGAAATCAAATCAAATATACAGCAATTCTAGTGCTGTACCATCAACTTGGCACTAAACTATAACAGGTTTTTTCCTATTAACACATTCATATGAGGTTTGAATCCGCAGAATAAAAGTATTGGGTAAATCTAGCCGTAGCAGACTGAGGCAAGCAAATGCAAACCACCATTCTTCCTGTTGAGTCAGTCCCCCCTTCTGGTAGGAGTACACAAACTTGTGGTGTTGGGGTGAGGTCTATAGGACCTGCATAAATTGGCCTTCCCCATCCAAAATCTGCAGACTCGTAAATTGAGATTCTTGTCCATTGTGTTATTGTCAATTTCCCTGCGAATTCGAGCCTTTTTGGCCTGTCTACTTCCATATAATCTATTGTTGACTTGAGGTATTCTTCTGAGACACCAATCCGAGCTTCTTGGACCAAACGGGTAGTATCAGCAAGATTTCCATTAATAAGCTCATACACAGAGCTCACTGCACATGCTAAACATATCACATTGCCATAAAAACCATCTTTTAATGGTGGGTTTCTAAGCTTTTGGCGAGCATTAACAGAAAATGTTAGCCTAAGCTTATATTCTAATGGTTTTACATCTAGTGCTTTCACCCATGACCTCCATATATGTGCTGCTATAGCATCAAAAGTAGTGCAGAAAAACTTGCTATCTGTTTGTGCTATAGTTTTTAGTTGAGTTTGAAACTCTCTGGTAATTCTGTAACATTTCTGCACAAGCTTTTCTTGCCATAACGATGTTGTTAAACTCGAGCCATCATCAACTCTCATAAACTCTATATGTGGATGTTTCACCATCGGTGGGTTTCGAGGCCGGAGAAACTCCCTATCCCAACAAGGTTCAGGACTTGTCACCAAAGTGCCTAACCTTGCTGTGGCTGCCCAAGCACCAAGAAACTGCATAGCACCGATGCCATCGCAAATGCAATGGCAAAGTCTTAAGCCTAGACTAAACCCACCACAACGAAAGAGAGTTACCTGAGCTATAAGCAAGGGCAAGTCAAGAATTTTGTAGGGTTCTTCATTTGGGAACTTGTAAATCAATGGTGACCATTCTGGGTTCGGTACAGTAAGGTCTCCTAATTCAGCTAAAGCCATATCTGAGTATGCCTCAATCATAAGTACGCCTTGTTCTTGTCCAAAAAACACTTGTAATTTCCCATTCTTGGTTTCTCTAATCCTGCCAGATAAAGGATAATAAGGAACTAAAACACAGGCCAAAGCATCAGATAACGTTTCCATGACAGGTTTTTTAGCAGAATTCAAGTAATCTGCTCTAAAGAAATATATTGTTGGGGTTAAAACACGAGCTCCAATCATATCATCAAGGTTTGAGAGGTAAAGACTGTCGCCTGAGGTGACTGGTATAGGTCCGGCAGGCAGTACCGGAACTAAACGACAAATGGTAACGGGAATGATTAGGTGGCGGAAATGGAGTTCTTGAACCAAGGGAGCCATTAGAGTTGTGAAGGAAATCATACCAGGAAACTGCATTTGTAGAAGAGAGAATTTTCGAAGACATGTAAAGATAACCGAGAAAGAAGCTTTTCAAGTTTTGTTGGTCTAGAGCAGTTGATGGTGACATTGTTCATGCTCTGCACAAACACCATTTTTAATTGGGTCTATCATACTAAGATTTCTTTCTTGGCACGGCTCTGCAATCCATTTAAAGTTCAGTTTTAATTTCTCTTCTTTCAAAAATAAAATAGTATCTATATAGAAAGCATGAACCAAAAGTTGTTGAAACTTGAGAAGTCTTGACAAATCCTGAGTACCAACAACCATTAAATACAAAAGTGATCCAACCAAATCCAAGAAGGCCTTTCAATGGAATAGTACTTTTCTTTAACATAAAGGGAAGCTCTCCAGCAAGCTCAGACCTGTTGCTAGCCTTGTTGTTTCCACTTAGATCAACCCGTAAAAATTATATAATACAGGCTCGGTTTATTTTATAAAATAATTTGTAAAAAAATATTTTTCATAATTTTCCGTTGGTTGAATCGCTAAGGAAAATAAGTTAATGGAAAATATTTTCCCGGTCAAAAGAAAAAAAAATTAAGTTATTTTTTTAAAAAAACAACTTTTCATTTTCAAGAAAGTAAAATATTTTTCGGATATTGAGAAACCTTGTAAATTCATATTTTTAATTTATTAATCGTCATAGTAATTACTACCGATCATCATTTACCACAGACCATCACCACCGGCTTTCATAATTTATATATATTTTTTGCATTCTTTTCATATTTAACAATAAAATTTTTAAATTATAAACATTTACCACAGACCATCACCACCGGCTTTCATTAATTTATATAATATTTTTTGCATCTTCTCATATTTAACAATAAAATTTTTAAATTATAAAATTTCTATATTAAATACTTTTTATTGATTTTATAAGATCAAAATTTTAATATTTTTTTAACTAATTTTTAATATTTACAACCAAACACAGGCAAATAAATTATTTTTATACAAAACACAAACGGGCCCAATAACACATTCATCTATCTATAAATTTATATAATAATTATTAAATTTAATGTCTAAATTTAACTATAATTCAAAACTCTAGGACTCTATTATACTAGAATCAAAGTTATTCGTCTTGAAACCAAACAATATATACTTCTCTCGAGTCTCAACCGCTATGCCATCGGTTAGAGAGAAGAAAATTAAAAATAAATTATAAAATTTCTATTATTAATATTTTTTATGATTTTATAAGATAAAAATTTTAATATTTTTAACTAATTTTTAATATTACAACCAAACAACAGCAAATAAATTATTTTATACAAACAAACGGGCCCAAATAACACATTCATCTATCTATAAATTTTATATAATAATTATAAATTTAATGTCTAAATTTAACTATAATTAAAACTCTAGACTCTATATACTAGAATCAAAGTTATTCTCCTTGAAACAACAATATATACTCTCTCGAGTCTCAACGCTATGCATCGGTTAGAGAGAAAATAAAATAAAAAGGAAAAATAAGAGAAGAAAGGAAAGTTTTGAAAAGAAAAATAAAATAATAAAAAAAAAAATTCTCTTGTTACTGTATTTTTCCCATATTTTTCCTCTGTATATAAGAAAATTTCAATTAGTGTCGGGACTTTTCTACGCGTCATTAATACGCGTATACATACGGTCCATTCCTGGGCATTTCACTTGAAAGTGACCAGAGTGAAAAATAAGGTGCTATTACAAGGATAAATATATTTATGTTTTTGGCCTAAATAAATGATCACACTATTTTTTAAAACTAAATTACGTTGCCAAATTATTAAAAAAAAATACAACATTTAATATTTAATAAAATACATAAATGGAAACCTGCTTCCACCCATTTCTAAATGGAGCAGTTTGAAATTGCCATCCCCGCTTGAAAATCCAAGGAAAAGGAATTGCAGATTGACAATTCTGGCTTGCACATAGTTATACACAAATCACAATGAATGGAGAATGCCTCTTAATTCTAAATCCTACCATGATTAGAATGTCATGTAACTCGGCTCACAGAATATGACTTAAAAAATGGGGAAAAGAATACCAAGAAAGGTGACAGCAATGTATCGCTACAAAAAAAAGTTAGCTCTCTCAGAAGTTTTGTATTGATAAAACTACCCAACAAGAAGAAAAACTACAAAATCTAAGAACCCCTAAAGTAAAACCAAGAACCCTGTTGAATCTCATTTTCAAAAGATCAGAACCTGATATCTTATTTTGCATTAACAAAATTAACAAGTACATATTTGAGGATGCATTGTGTGGGTTGGGGATAACAAAATTGTTGCCGGCTTACCGCACCGGCTGCTGATTGTAGTGATTCTTCTCTTTTTTCTTTGCAGCAGCAAGCTTTGCATTCCTTGCAGCAGCCTCACTAGCAGCAGCTCGTGAAGCAGCATCCATCTCTTTACCTGATTTTTTCTTCTTTGAAGATGCCACCTTCTTCAAACGCTCCTTCACATCAACAGCAGGTACATCTTCTACCTTCTCTGTCTCAGCAGTTTCATGTGTCCCATTCCCTACATCTGCACGACAAGGTTGGTCCTCCAATTCCTTTGCGTCCTTTGATGTTTTTTCCTTCTTTTTCTTCTTTTTTGAACTTTTATTCTCACCAGGGCCATTTTCCTTCTTTTCCACTTCTCCATTATTCTCTACTTTCTTCCCTTGCACGACACCTGCATGTAAGATTGAAATTACTTCATATTTGAAAAATATATGAGCATGATCATCATAAACAATTAAGTTTTCGGTCTGAACACAATCAGCAGCAAGTGTTATTTCGAGGAATGATGTGGAGAATGGAGACCAAACTTCAAATTGTAAAATACTATTTCTCTTCAATGCCTCCTACATGCTTAAATATGACCAAAAAAAAAAAACCCAGATAATAATTCTTTAAAACATAGTGCAACTACAACTATGAAAGGATTTTAAGGGAAAGACATTAATTGAATCTCTAAAGGAAGCTCCTATAACCACATGAAGATCAGATGCAAACAACAAACAAGATGCTTGGATACTTCTGGACCTCTCCAACACAAACATATTTAAATTTCAGTAAAATTATTAAAGATGATTTCATTTGGCATCACATTGCAAAAGAAGTCAATCTAAATAGCCACAGTTAGAATGAAAAAGAACCAACAGATATGAATGTAAAAATAGACTTAAGTTACCATTGGAATTATCTTGACTGCTGGTTTCCTGTGTGGCATATCCTAACTCGGCAAGAACTGCATCAAGTTCTTCAAGCCCCTTTTTCTTTAGTTCCTTCTTTGAAAGCTGCCTTTCTGGATCTTTAGGTGCTGAAGGGCCATCAAGATGCTTCTTAATTAGTGGCTCTACAATAGGTGCCTCAGGCTCATGTTCATTTTCATGTTCTTCCTCGACATCATCATCATCAATTTCATCAAGACCTTCCTCACTTTGACTTTCCTGGAATCAAGTATAGTATAACTCAGAAAAAAAAATTTCACGAAAGAAAGACAGTCCTAAAAATAAATATATAGTATATCTAGCTTCTTTTATTTCCAGTGCAACTTGCAGTAGAACTTCGATGAGAAACAAAATATAAAGAAAATCATAAATGCCATAACAAGACAAAAGGAGGAAAGGAAAATTATTAAAAGAAAAGCTCAAATGCATATGCAAAATACCATCCCATTACACCAAAAGCAAGGTCAATTTTTTAATCATCAATGGTTATCATCAACATTCCAATCACTGCACGTCTTAATTCCAGTAGAGTAACTGCAGAGGTTTTTACTACTACAGATCAATCCTCAGTTTGCAGTTAACAGACTTTTCTTCAATGTACATATTAAATAAAGTAGTTTCAATGACTATGTAATCTCATCAACTGATACAGAAAAAGTCTGAACCTCATTTTTACTGTTTCATCCCATTCTTTCTGCCAACGATTTACTCAGTGTTATCACAATGAAGTACAATCTGGGTCCAGCAGAGCTAAGTTTACTGAAACAACCTTCTTTGCAGTATCTAAAGGGACACATTAACTACTACCTCTTGTCAAGGCCAGTACATTTTTAGTTATCAGATGACAAATTGATTTGCTTTTTTACTTTTACTTTATTTCTCTCATTCTTGAGAAATAAAAACAAGATGTCATCTATTTTGACAAAAGTGTTTTGATGTAGTAACCATAATTGACAACTAGGCCAACTAGAAAGCTCCCTGAGGTTCACCAGAAAAACAATTGACACCATCAATCAACTTACTAACAGTATAATTACAGATTAGGTCTACTTTCTGCAAACTGCATATCTTTTCCTTGGTGGTTCATAACCCTCTGAGTTACATTGGAGATGTGTGCTTGGCAACTGTGATAGAAAACAATGCAATTTCCTGAGATGCTTAAGGCTATTAACAGGCTGATGAATATGTCCTAATAAGTTAATAACAGGCAATTACTTCAAATACACTCCAACGACCAAGTATCATTTTGCAACAGAACAAAAGTCAAAGTTCTAAAGAATCAGCTATGATGAGGGCATCCCATCACCCCAACTGGCAAAGGTGCAATTTCCAATCATGAAGCAGTAAAGGGAAAGTTCTGGATGAAACAAAGACATCCTCCTTATCCATCTGTTTCAACATGAATTGCTTCGCACATTCCAAATCTCCAAATCAACATCTCGGATTCATCCAGTCGATGTATCACACACATTATTTTTATAGTTTATGATACTTGCTGTTTCATAAGGAGAAAACACACCATTAATCCAAACATGTGCATTGCACAAATTCAAAAGCAATTTTCAGTGTAAGATTGAACGAATCTTGCTTACTTTCTCAAATAGTAATAAATAGCCAACCTGACTTACCCATTACACATAGTTTTCTTCCTCACAGTATCTACATATAAAAACATTATAATCTCTTAGTTTCCCCTCCACCTTTTTTCTTTTTCCCAAAAAGGAGACAAAAAAAATAAAGAGATTCTCCAACAAAGAGATATTCATATTCAACACAAAGACAACCAAACACTTTACTTTCTCACAGCATACCGAATCCAGTACCAAAATCAAAAAGCATTAACCAATTAGAGGATTGAAAAAAATAAATAAAAGTGATACGAGTTAAATAAAATGAAATCCGAAAAAGAGCCTTACCTCCATAACCTCCTTTTCCTGCTTGGAATCTGTAGCAACACCCAAAACAGAAACCGGTGGAGCTGTGGTGGCATAGTAATCATCATCATCTTCATCATCAACATCGGCCCATGATTTCACGTTGAGTGGGGATGGAGCCCAAAAAACGTCCTTTTCTGCTTCCTTGTCCTTTTTCGATTTGGTTATCAATGAACCCATTTTCTCTTTCTCAGAAGTAGATGATTTCTTCTTCTTCCTCAATGTACCAAGCGCAGCAAATACATTGGTACTATTAAGCACCACAGAGTCATCTTTCCTGTTTCCTCCTCCCACCATTTCCAATCTTTGTTCAAAACGTCCTTAATCCTGTAACCAAGCAGGAGTTGTCTCTCTCTTTCTTATCTCAGGTTATTTAAAAACCGACTAGCAATGATTTTTTGCTAATTAAATCAACAGTTTCAAGTTTTGAATGCAAAACGAGTCAAAATTGGAAAATGGGTAAGATTGAAAACGAAATTAGAGTTAGAAACTGGTTTACACTGGAAAAACAACGATGGATTGATGGGTTCTAGCGATCAGAGGAGACAGAGCAATAGAAACCAATGATTAATGGAAAAGATAGAACTTTATGAATAACCCAAAAAACGAGGTCCGTTATCAGATAAGGTGAAGAAGGCGAAATAATGGAGGTGAGGGAGAAAGGTCCTTTGAATGTGGGAGGTGAAGAGAGAAAGAATGAAACCCACACTCTGTATCCCTGTTTTTCGTCGCTCTTTCTTTTTATTTTTTTTGAGCAAAAAAGGCCAGAGCCTTAAACGTGGATATGAAAGCACTAGGGTTTTAAATTTTTATTTGATATATGTTGACGTGGATAAAATAGGGTCATCTTTTGGGTTTTTATCTTAGCAAGGTACATTGTAGCCTCCTTACATAATACATGTCAAGTTATAGGGAATAATTTATTTTAAAATATTTGTTCCATATTTGGAATTTTAAAAAATAATATTTTTTTTCATGTTTAGCTTTTATAATAATTAATAATTAATATTTTAATTTAATAATTTTGTTAGAAAATTAGTATGGAATCAAAGATAATATAGTCAATTTAATATACTCATCGGTGATTCAGTGATTCGCCTATAAAGTTTAACCTTTAAACCGTTTTAGTTTTTTATCCAAAAAATATTATTAGAATTAAATAATAATTCAATAATAAACAAAAAAAATTAAATATTAACTATATATTAAATGTGTATGCTCAAATAATTATATAGTATAACGTATTTACTTATAAAAATAACAACTTCTAAATGTAATGATTAAAATAGTTTAATATAACTAAACTTCTTGTATTAATTATTAGTTTTATTAAATAATAAAGATGTGATAGTAATATTAACTAAAAGACTAAATAATTACTCCATCTATCCTAAAATATAAATCGTTTTTGGTTTGTTATTCTGTTCCAAAATATAAGTTGTTTTGTAGATTCAAGAAGTAATGAATGATATTTTTCTAATATTGTTATTGTTTACACTAAATATAATAAATACTTCATAAACAACTATTGATTTTGAGATAAACAATAATTTAAACTTTGACTTTGTTATAATCTAAGAAAAATTGCTTTTTCAATCCTTATATGAAAACCTTAAATGATTTATATTTTGAAATAGAGAGAGTAATTTTTTTTAATAAATATTCTTTTTATTATTATATTTTGAAATAGAGAGAGTAATTTTTTTTAATAAATGTTCTTTTTATTATTATTTTTTTATGCTTTCCCGCTGTATACATGTAATTAAATTAGAAAACATAAATTAAGTAAATTCGGATTTTAGGGACAAAAATTAAGCAAAATAAGCTAAATTGTATTGAACATTGATTTATGTTGGATGATTTACATTTTATAATGTTAATCTATTTACAGAGCACGGCATTCATAAACTTAACTTATTTAGGATTCTATACCTGACATATTCTAAATTATGTCATTTTTTGGTATAAAAAATTTAAATTAAAAAATTTATTTTCACTTCCAAATGTATATATATATATATATATGTGTGTGTGTGTGTGTGTACTTTAAATTACAAATTCTTCATAAACTGAATAAGAACTGATTTCCATTCTTTCTCCATTTTTCATTTTTCTATTTTAAATTTTCAAAAACCGTAAAATTTTTGTATTATATGTTACGGTCCTAATGACAATAAAAAAACTAAACCTTTACATCCTCTTAGCTTGTCCTAGAGAAATCAAAAATTATTTCCAGCTCTAACCATGAATTGGTAACTCACACAAATGAAACAATAGACATCATATGTCTTTTTGTGTAAATATATATAGATTCATCTTTCTAAAAAATAAAGAAAGGAGTTAAAAATAGTGTATTCAAAGACCCCAGCTCCACTAACACAGCAATTGCCTTAAAAGAAAACAAATAGATTATATTTTCTCAAAGATCAGAGATTGAAAGAAACAGTAAGAAAACAAAAAGGAAACTTCGAACTATAATCTTCATAAAGAATCTACAAATAATTACTTTCTAACATCACAATAAGTGAATAATCATGCAAACAAACTGGTATATGACTTATGAAAGCATATCTTGTTTAACTAAATTTTAAACAAGGCAGAAATTCTCTAACTGGAGTATCTCAGAAAAAACAAAATAAAATTGGAGAAAAAGAAGGTATCTCACGTTAAGATGAAACAACCTGAGAGGAGTTATCGTAGGTTGTTCCAACATGCTGAATGACAAATCCATAAATCTTCCTCTTAAGCTTCTCAATCTTCTCTGCTAAAGGTCCATCTCCATTTGATACCACACGGTCCAACCAATCATTTACTCTCTTCAGTTGAGATAAGATAGCTGCAACAGAGCCGGAGTTTAGAGGTAACTGTTTACCTCCATCCGAAGTACACCTCCCCAATGCTCGAAAACCTGCATCAAGAGACTCCTCAACAAACTTTACAAACCAAACTTGCATCTCGGACTGCAACTTCATTGCAAGTTCTACTGTTCCCTTCATTCCATTGCCTCTTGTCCAAACTCCAACAATAGATTCTGGAACTGCAGGTGAACTAGCCTTTAGCGGTTGTCGCTTGGATAGACTTTTTGGCAGAGTGGTTGGAGGATTATTTTTATTATTATTCTCACGGTTCAGTAGAGAAACAATCTCAAGATCTGTAGCTAAAGCAGCTTCAACCCATAGAGAAGCAGATTTTGATTGCTCAGTTGGGATGGTTGCAGAATCTGAAGAGTGACTAGCAGCAACTGATTCAGCAATCACAGTATATTTCACAGTGTCATCATAAATTGAGAAAAATCGATCTATGGTTGGTAAAGGATTGCCAGCCTTTGATACAGAAGAAAGTTCCGAAAATATACTGCAATTGAAAGAGAGGAAAAACGAATTATGATCAGATTTATCATCAGCTCCTACAGCTGCAGGAATCCTTATTAATGCATAAATTAGTTGTTTTTCGTGTTAAATATTATCATAAGGAGATCCTTCCTCGTTTTTTTGTTTTTAATTTTTTGTTTTATGGGGTGGAGGCTTGGGGTTTTTGTGGAGAGGGTGGGAAGAGAGTGCGAGAAACAGAGGAAAACCAAAACTAGAGGAGTTGGAGGAGAATCAATGTGTTATAGAGAGCTGTAGAGAAATTCCCACTACTGTACCTTAAACTCCTTACAATAGACTCGGTAGCAATGGCCTCCTCTAAAGCTTCAGCAGCAGCTGTAGAAGCAAGAGCGCTCCTTTGCATCGCCTCCTGCATTTAGTGAGCATGTGAAAATCTTCTCCCATTTTCTACAACAAGTAACTTTTTTTAGGTATGTTGCGACTTGCGCCCAATTATGCAATAATCTATTTCCCATTTTCTTTAGATATGTTGTGCTTAATTCTCAACAATTTTTGCCAATTATACAACAATCTAGGTGATTTCATGAATATATCGTAACTACAAGTTGAGGCTGATATAAAATTTTCTTAGACAGTACTGGAAATTATTAATCCAAACATAAATCCATTCTCACCTTTCCAAGCTTTGCGAGGTTTGCAGACACATTATCCAATGGAATACTGCCATCAGTCCATTTCTTCTCATGTACAGTGAATCCCAAAGCTGCACAAGTTGGCTTCTTTTTGTCCAGACAAACTTCTGGTGAACTACACTTTATTGACTCATTGCTTGAAGAATCATCATCATGACCGGGTAGTCGACTGTTTGCATCACTTAGACGCCTTGACAAGGCAGCCTGGAACAGCAAGTGAAAGATCAGATTTCAAAGTAAAACATTAGAAATCATAAAACCCAAACTTTATAAGCAAAATGGGAAACGAAGTGAAAATATCAAATAAAATGAAGATGGAAGCAGTTAGAGGAAATGAATGGACCAAAGACGAATTACTTAACGAGAAAATTGTCACGTGTCCATTTCCACTTACCGAATACAGAATCAAGACTGTATGTTTTAGACAGATAATAGGAGCTATTTGAGTGTATCTTTGCTAAAGCTTAGCTCAGTGCTCAAATCAACCCAAATTAATTGGCTTAATTAATTAGGTTATTAAAAGGAGTGACGCAGGTTGGGACTTCTATGTGTCAAATTTGCAGATTACCAAACCTAAAGAAGCTACCACTGAATTAGGGATAGAAAAACATCAGTTTAGACATAAGCAATGGATGGCATTCTACGGAAGAAAGAAGAAAGAACGCTTATAGGCTATCTGTTTAGCCATTAATAAGATGTACAACTGCAAGACATGCATATGTATATATATCATGAAGTCAGGATATCAATAGTTCATCAGTAACTTTTGCTTGATTCTCAACAAAGCCTGTGCAGCCAGATTGAAACAACCACAGGAACCAAAATTTTAGAAACAACACTGTAAAAACAGGCAAGCAATCAAACGAACAAAAAACTAGAACTCCAAAAGGTAAATATAATAACTTCAAAATTCTTTCTTCTACACTAGCTGTTCAGAAAGAAGATACTTTACCTGCGTCCGTAAAATTGCTTGCAGATCTGGTTTTTTCCTCACATCAATCTTCTCTCTCTGCTCTCCTGAACCCATCGCAGGCGGAGTCTCATCCCAGCTCTTCCTACTACTCTTTGCAGACCCAACAAGAGCTTCTGAAACTTTTGAAATCCCAGCAGCAATCGTTGCCATCTTCTTCTTTCCAGCAGAATCTGCCACAACAGGCGACACTTTCACTCCAGACAGCCTCCGTCCAGGAGACAGAGAAGCTCTTCTTGTACTTGGAGAAGCCTGCTTTCTACTCGGCGATGGTTGCCTATACCTTGATGGAACTATAATTGCTGGTTCCCTTGCTACCTTCCTGTTTTCCTCCTTAGCAGCTGCCAAGCTTGGAACCACACATTTCGAAGGGACCGGTGAAGCCGATCTCTTTCCTTTTACTGCAGGAGAAGGATCCCTTTCTGTCACAGCCACTTGTTTCTTCCCTGTAGACAATGATCTCTTTGATCCAGCAGGCGAAGAAAACCTCTGCGGTACTTTATTTGATCGTTTAGGTTCATCTAAATTGCCAACATTTCCATCATCCCGAGGAGCAAGAGGTTGCCTCGTCGTTTTAATACCTTTTTCAATTCTATTATCACTCTTCACTTCCTTATTCTCATTTCTAGACAAGTCCTCGCATTTCTGGTTCGCTAAGTACACCGCAATTGGATCAACGGAGTATTCTGAATCGTCCACTGGTTGAATCACAAATTCTTTCTTTGAAGCCGAAATGCGAGCAATTAGTGGTTCCGGTGTCCCTACAAAGGGATGACGGCCGGCAATAGGACGGACTCCACAAAGCCTAGGGACCGGAGAATCGAATTCAAAGCGTTCTATATACACAAATTGACCGAGCTGGAGGCGATTGGAGAGAATGAGATCGGTATCGCGTTCGGAGAGGGAAACATAGGTAGAGTTGAGAGAATCGGAGAGCTGGACGTAGAATCCGTGGTTAGGCCAAAGATCTGAGCCGGCAAGGGCAGGAACAATTCCAATTACTTGGAGAAGAGCATGGCGGTGGTCCCCGGTGACTCTGGTGTTGGAGTTCATGGACTGAAGGAGTTTTAGGAGGATTCCTGGAGTTAGAGAAGCCATTTTTCTCTCTCTTTCTGTGTTTGGAGTTGTGAAGCTATTTTGGTGTTTCGTTGTGAATTAGCCGGGCGTGAAAGAGGAAAGAAATGTAAGAGAAACCCAAGCAAATGTGTTATCCGTTACGGATTCAAATTCAAAAGCCCGCTAATATTTTAGTTTGAATTCTGGTGGGGTACAGGGCACATCGTATATAATATGCCTTTTTATTAGACAGGCGTTACCCGGCCGTTGTGTTATTTTAGTAGTAGGAAAAATTACTGTGACCGTCGATAAAATTAAACTAATCCTTGCACAACATAGCCCAGTGAGCCCTTTTTTTAAATATTATAAGTACAGAAACTAATATCCGCTTTGACTGTTATAATGTCAAAATAAAAGTTTCAGAATTACTTATTTGTCCCTTCTTCCTTTTTTTTTTACTAATAAAAAGATATATTTGTATCGGTGATTTCTTTTTTCAATTAAAAAATAATTTGCATTAACTATTCGCTATTAAATAATATTGATGGAGTATACGCACCCTATGCAGGGAATTTTTTCTAAAAAAATAATCATTGAATACATACATTCAATTAGAATACATAAATTCAGTTAGACTCCGTTTATTTTCGTAAAATAACTTGCTAAAAAATATTTTCATGAAAAATATTTTTCTTAAAAAATAAATGCCTTATTTTCCATTATTTGGTTATAATATTAAAAATTAGTTTAAAATATTAAAGTTAAAAGTTTTCAGAACTAACTATTTGTCCCTTCTTCCTTTTCTTTTTTACTAAATAAAAAGATATATTTGTATCGGCGTTGATTTCTTTTATTCAAATTAAAAAAAATAATTTGCCATTAACTATTCGCTATAAATCAAATATTGATGGAGTATGACGCACCCTATGCAGGGGGAATTTTTTCTAAAAAAATAATCATGAATACATTACAATTCAATAGAATACATTTAAATCAGTTAGACTCCGTTATTTTTTCGTTAAAATAACTTGCCTAAAAAATTATTTTCATGAAAAATATTTTCTTAAAAAAAATATTTTCATGAAAAATATTTTTCTTAAAAAATAAATGCCTTATTTTCCATTATTTGGTTATAATATTAAAAATTAGTTTAAAATATTAAAGTTTTATATCATCAGACCATGAAAAATATTAATAATAATAATAATAATTTTATAATTTTATAATTTTTTATTATTAAATATGAAAAGAACGTAAAAAAAAATATAAATTATGAAAACCGCCGTTGATAAATAGTAACTGGTAACAGTAACTATAATAATTAATAAACTAAAAAATATAGATTTATATTTGCCAATATCTGAAAAATATTGTACTTTCTTGAAGATGAGAAGTTGTTTTCCTTAAAAAATAACTTAATTTTCTATTGACTTATTTTCTTAAACGCTTCAAACAACGGAAAATTGTGAAAAATATTTTCCTATAAATTATTTTATGAAAACAAACGACCGTAAACTTTATTATTTTAACTTTATGACATTATTAACTCTTACTTTGATTCATAAAAAACTTATAAAATTATATATTCAATTTATAAAATTATTTTAATGAACACTTCAACTTGCAAAATTAAATCAATTAAAAGATATTATTCAATTTAATCTAATTACATATCAAATCGGTATTTTACAAATAAAAATAAAAAATTTAAACTTTAAAAAACTACAGAAAAAAATATGTAACTTTATATTATAAATTTAAATTTAAATGCACAATGAATCATCCATCAAGTTCAAAATGCAAAATGCCACAACTAAAGTTACAAATTTCAAGTGTGAATTTATAAAAGAATTCCATAAATCTACAATTTTATAGAGACATACAAGTCTTCGTAACTGTATCAAGGACTAGATAAAGGAGCAACTACCGCCATGAAATTGCATCAAAACTCTCGTAATGAATATCAACAAAGGAAAATAGCATCACTTACTAGTTATCAAACATCTACTTTTGAAATGGTAACATTGAGGTCACATGAAAGGGTAATGAAACAGCATATAAAATCTTGGAACCGGTTACTCTGATGCAAGTCTTGTTACAAAATGGTCAATCCTTTTTGCAGGTATAGACGCAAGGGAGAATTCCTTCAATAAATGAGTAACAGTTTTACGCCAAAAATTGTTCAGGTCCCTTTGACCTATCTTTCATCATATAAGTACAAGAAACTCTTTACATTCTCAATTTTACGGGAAGAATAAAGAAAAAGCACAAGCTATTGAAATATGGATAAAAGGTAAAATTGATCTGGTCCTTTATTTTCCTTTTTTTTTCTTGTATATATTATGCCACAAAAAACAAGAAAATCATGAGGAATACAATCAATACAAAGAATATCTTGATCATCAGCCATCGGTTCGATGAAATACTGTTAAGATACCTAACCAGTTGACCCTGTGCCCCTTCTACGTTTGCTAGTGCATCTTCCATATTCTCATCAATCCTGCAAGTCACAGCAGGGAAGTTAGTTAGTTCTAGACCGTTGCTCAATCTAATAATCGATTATGTTGCTTGGTCTAGTAAATGGAGATAAATCTCCAGGTATTTTGTCTTTCATCATAAAAACTCAGTAAAAGCCCAGTCATTTTTAAAAGCAAATCACAGTTCTAACATGTATCAGCTAACGTGGTAGATTCTTTCAGTGAAAGGCAGCAGCATCTCAATGCTGCTGAGTAGCATAAAAAGTAGTGCTGCCATTAAGAGGAGACCACATATAGACTTATAAACATTTATTCATTACTCAGTCACAAGATCATGCTTGTTTTGATGATGGAATCCATAATAAAAGACACACCTGATTGCAAGCTCTCCTTGCTGTGAAACCATGGTCGCTAGTTGTGTAAAGATGTTGCCTAACTCATGAATTGTTGACTCCACATTGTGCAGAGCCTCAGCTCTACTCTGCATGTAACTATCTTGTAGTGGAACCATCTGCTGTTGTTGCTGACGATTCTGCTGCTGCAAAAGTGGTTGTGACTCAACATCTTCCTGCTTGCTGAAAAGGAAAAGGGAGACATATTTCAGTGGAAAATTGGAACCAATTTAACTATCCATCCAGGGAGAAAACCATTTCACACACACTATTTTCATCTTAATCTTCACATTTAAAATCAGAGAGAAATTCATAAATGTAACAAGGAACTGAGGTTCCAAGATAGAATAACAAAGAGCTTCCAACCAGAAATTCTTATACTTGCCAAGAAAGTATACTGTCATTGTTACCTGGGAAATAACTGAGATGAGGATGCAGAACCATTGGCCCATGGAGGTGGAGGAGCTGATGATACATTAGCAGCAGATCTGGATGCCAGTGGACGCTGTCGGACAAAAGGATTTGTAGAATCTTTTGGAGCAGTTGAAGAAAACAATTGCCTTCTGTTCTCATGAACCTTTAAATTCTGCAAATATACAGAAAACTCCAAACTTAAAATACAGCACATTAACGACTATCTAGTGTCTGAATTTTCAGATATTTGCTGTATTGAGCAGAAACTCCTTCAATACCTCCGTCCGCATTGTGAGGACTTCTTTAAACTCCTTTGTGGCACTCATCAAGCGGTTCTTCAGGTTATCAACAACAGTGGTTGAGTGAGTTGAAGTGTCACTTGAGATGTTTCCACTTTCATTCTGGGAATTGCAAAGGAGTTGGAGATCTACTACAGCTGCATTAAGTGCAGTAATATCTTGCTTTATAACAGCAGTAAGCTCTTGGATCTCCGTAGTTGGATCATCGAACACGGATGTTCTCTTTGCCACTAATTTACAAAAAAAAGAAAAGAAAAAGATAAATAAATTTATGATGCTAGTCATTTAAAGGCTACTTTAGAATACATAACAAATAATGTATCCAATTAGATAAATTATCAACAATTTTCATCATCCACCTTTAACATTCAATTCTTATATTTGATAATTTAGATTTAGCCAAAATATATATCCACAAAGCAATTGAGTGATCGAACATTCTTCAGACCTAAATGTTAGAGACCGTAATTGCTTATGCTCATAATACAAACTTAAGGCCTCCATGCAAGATGACTGCTATAAAATATATGAGAAACAATGAGATATCATTCTACCATTAAGAGATGTAGCTTTAACAATAGCAGCTACATCATTCCAGGAGATTCCAGTAAATGATTTTCCTAAATTTTTCATAAGAAAAATTAAAAGCACAAAAATGATGAAAAGTTGAAAAAGTATTATCAAAGTCACTCCAAACAAAATAAATGTATACTGAACAATCTTACCCCAGAAAACAATGAGACTGGAGTCATACCATAGAATTAGTGTGTAATGCGATTAGTATCCTAAACCAAAGAAAAATAGCAACGTCTGGGTTCGTAGCTCTCAAAAACCTGAGCAAATCAACTTATCAGTTGCTCTGTCTGCATACAATTTGTTCAGGTACCCAAGTTTTGTTGACATTTGACATTGTTTCAATCAGCTGATGTAACTTTCAAACTTTCAGATAGAATATTTCGAATATATCAAGCTCAAATTATTTAATTTAGAATATTATCTAGGCCTTTGATCCACAATGCAATTTAATGTAAAACAAAAATTAATGATCATGCATTTTCTAGCTATCATTCTGAATTACTGTTGCCTTTCTTTATTAATTTTCACCTTAATAAGCCAAAAAAGGTATAAACTCCCTCATGTGGATATCACTCAAAGCAGCACACAACCAACTTGCTGTATGGGCCTGCTTAAGCATCATGGGGGTTGATAAAATAACCGATCACTCAATGGATAATTCTCTGGTACTAGCTACTTCAGAAACCTAAAAAAGCAAAGAGAACCACCTAACTCCTGTACACTCTTCTCCTTTCAAACCAAATGCAGACACATTGTTTTTGCCGCACTCACCAGTAAATTTCATCAACATTGCATCATTAAGCTTGAAAACCCCAACTGAATTCCCTTAATAATACTTAATTATGCTCAATCCAAAATATAAGCATAAATACATGAAGCAGCGAATACCAAAGCAACTCACATTTCGCCAGTTTTGATAGCTTCTGCGATGTCTGATGGATTCCAAATCCTATTTTCGACGCTCGTTTGTTGAACTCCGATTGAATAGCCACCGCAGATCGCGAACCGTCAAGCTTGGCATTGCTGCTACTACTGCTCGATGCCGCCGCTGCATTGTTCGCCGACGAGAATGACTTCTTTAGCCTCTCCGCTACACTCAAAAACTCTTGCGTCCGATCCCGATATGATGATTTCCCCGGCACCACCGACATATCAAAAGATTATTTTTGGAAAAAAACGAATCGATTAAGATGACAAAACTTTAACAGAAAATTTTCAATTCCTATACAGAATTATGTGTAGGTAAATAAGAGGGAAAGAGGAGGAAGAAAGATGACACGGGAGAGATCTGGAAACCCTAAATTAAGAGATGAAACGCTGCCGTTTTAATGTAAAACGAGACAGCATCGTGATTGGGAATTGAACAAGACAGAGGTGAGAAGAATTGCAGACTCTGGAGGTGGAATTGCAGAGAGAGGCAGATGAAAAGAGAACAAGCAGATCTAGATCTACCTGATAAATATTTCGTTTCTGATCTGTTCTCCTTCGGGTTAAGATTTGTTTGCTGTTCTGTATCCAAAACGCACCGTTTTGGCTGATTTTGATGTAGTAGCGCAGGGTTTACCGTGGCTAGCTAGTTTAAAGCTTAATAGTTTATATGTACTCGTGAATTAAATAATTAAATTAAATTAAAATAAATTAAGTCATTAAAATAAAATCAATTGATTTATTGAAATAAATTTTACTTTCTTATAATTTGTGTTTATAGGTGAATGTACCACTTGCAATGAGACAAAATAAATAAAATCTATTACAATGATTCATGGAACAATAAAAACAGATTTAGTTAAAATAATATATATTAAAATAGATTTAAGTTAAAAATAAACAACATAAAAGACGAGGAGAGATGTAATTCATAAACAATAAATTAAGTTTTGCTAATTACGTTACTTAAAATTAATTGAATATAAATAATCATGATAAAATTCTTTTGTACAATAATTAAGTTATTGATCATCTATTTCATAGTTTTCTTTCTAAAGTAGGACCAACACATAGTCATACAATATATTGGATTATGTGATGGATTGCTAATTTGACATTCTTTCTATAATATTTGGTGTAGTTGCTTATTTGGTTGTTAGTTGGTTCTACAACATACCAGCTCATATTCACGTGAAAGATTGCGTTATTGAAACAATTTCCCTCTCATCCAACCACAAACTTGAAAGAATCTAATATGATTTTATAACTATAGACTCTTGATGGACCATCGATGAACAACTTGCACCGTCACCAATCTCAAGATTTGCCAATTAGATTTTTTTGCTCCCGGAGCTACATCATCCGACTGCACCTAATGAGATTCGAGAAAATTGACAATAAAAAATAATTATAAAGTATTGGTTGATAAAGTTAAAAGTATCGGCTAAATTTGGAAAAAAAAAAACTCAAATATTCAAACTTTTTTATAATTAAGCCTCTTTAGTTTTAATTTTTTTAAAAAATTAAAAATATATATTTAATTCTTCAATCATATAGTAATTTTAAAATTTTAATTAATCAAGTTATTAATGTAGAATTTAAATGTTGATATAGCTAATTATGTCGTTTTTACTTTTCTTAGTAAAAAAATTATAAAAAAATTAGCCCATGTCCAATCTGATCACAATATAGTAATGTCTACTAATGTATTTTCGTAAACGGCCTCATTGAAATTTGGACTTTCCAATAAAATAGATATATAATTTTAATGTCTATGGCTATATTAATTTCGCGGTTTTGATTTATTTAAATTATTTAAAAAAAAACAAGAAGGAGAATTTATCATTTGCCCTATAAAATTAGGCTTTTATAGAAATTATAATCTATTTTCCACAAGAAAATTATAGGTATTTACAAGCAAGCACTTGAGGAGACTTAACATTTCTTACATCAAATCAAAATTTTCTTACAAATGACAATAATAGGTCTAAAATACAATATTACCCTCGCTTTTGTCTCTTCTACACATGTTCCTGGCCTCACAACACTACCAAACACATGTTCCTGGCCTCACAACACTACCAAAAACACTACTAAACATCCTCCAAGAATTCTTACTAACAAATCTAACAATCTCCCATGGATTCCCAAAGAATGACCAGAAGCAATCATAATAGGAAACTCACAATCACCATCAGAAGGATCCTGGTCTGTAATTGCAGCAAGACCAGAGAAATCACAAGTCCAATCTTTCTGGTTATTAACCTGATAATACATGTTAAAAGCATAAGAAGCATTCCCTTCAACACTTAAATGATTACAAGAAGATCCATAACCCAAAGAAGTACAATCTGATAAACTGCAAGCATAATTGATACTATCAGGCAATTCTTCTAAATCACTTGCGTCTGGGTTTAGAACACACCATCTTCTAAGCATATATTTAACTCCTTCAACAGGAGCTAAAGCTTTATCCTCTTTTAAACCTGATAAGTCGAGTTCATATTTTGGCTTCCCATCATATTCAAAAATTCCCCAGTGTCTTTCAAAACTTCCAGGAGCAATGCTTTTAGCATTCTCATCAATTAGACTAAAGAGATAAACATCAATCTTACCTTTTCTTGCAGGTGTTCCTTTTCCACTCAAAACGTGTTGGATTAATCCTTGATTGAATTTCTTGGCATTCTGTATATTGGCATTTTTATCACCATCAGTTGGCCAGCCAACTTCTCCTACTAAAATTTTCATATCAGGATACCCTGCCTTGTTTAATGCCCACACAAGAGTGTCAAAATTTGCATCAAACACATTAGTGTAAACCAAATTACCATCTTTGATTGGATTCTTTGCTCCATCGAAGAATGCAAAGTCAACTGGGAAGTTCTCATCGCTGTAGAGACTCAAGAAAGGATAGATATTGACAGTGAAAGGTGCATCGTTTGAATGTAGAAACTGGATTATTTCGAGTGTCGGGTCGCGAACTTCGGGTCTAAAATCACCAGCAGATGGAATTTGATTAGGGTCTGGAGAGTAATAGACATCGGCATTAAAGGGTACTGTGGCTTTAACTCTAGAACCAATCTTAGCATGGTTAAGGGCAAGCTGTATATTCCTTAGAGCAGGCAATGTGACTTGCAAATAACTTCCATTATATGTTTGCAGAAATGGTTCATTGCCTACAGCAACATACCTGCAAAATTAATCACCAAGACCATTTAAGAGTCCTCCTAAATTGACAGAAGCCAAAAAAGAGCAAAAAAAATATCAACAACAAGGATCAAAATTCAAGAAAAATCCCAAATTATTTGATGCGCAAGTGCAAGATTTGGAGAAAACAGAGAGAAATAAAAACCAATAGAACAGTAAATAATTTGGGCATTGAAAAAATGCTACGAACTTGATATTGACTCCACCGCTATATAGCCAAGAAGTGACATTGGCATCAACCCAGTTAGTAGCAGCGGCAGGATCTTCGCTCATCTGCTGCAACATGTAATTGGGTATAGCCAACATAACCTCAATATCAGTTCCAATCAAAGCAGCCATTATTCTCTCATCGGCCTCAAATAATTTTAACCTTTGAAACCCATTATCTCTCATCATATTTATCACATTCTCTGGACGGAGTAGGTGGGTTGTCATGGTGCCCCAATTAACCCCAATAGTAGTGACTCTAGAAGCCATAGTCATACTCGTAAAAAGAACAAACACCATAAAGAAGTGAAAACCATATACTTCTTGTTTTGCCATTTCAATTTTTCTTTAAGAATCTTTAATGGGTTTATCTTTATTGAATTGATCAAGAATCAAGAATCTAGAAAAATAGAGAGGAAACACGAAAAGATGATTATTGGCTAGTAGAAGTGAACCCAAAAGGATTGGAAAGAGGGAAGTTGTTAATTGTTGGTACAGAATTTATAAGCATGAAAAGTGAGTGACCGAGTGAGTGAGTGTCTTCTCTTTGGTGATTGGTTATTAGGATGCTTCATGGGGAAGTTGAGAAATCTACTTGGTGATTTCTTGTGCAAAAAGAAAACGTTCTCAGCAAAAAGAATGGAAGATGCGTTTCTTAGTTCAGTTATTTAGTTGTTGGTGCCAACACGTACGCTTAATTGTTGCCAATTGCTTAAGTTAATTGTAAATTAACGCTTTCAATTTTAAACTCTGCTTGCTTTCTGTATCCAGAGTATGAAATAGCTTAGATTTTCTTCTTTTATTTTCTTTTTCGAATTCTTTTATGAGTACCCATATCTTTTTTGGTAATGAGATACCCTATCTTTTTAAAATGAGATTAATTTTGTCTTGTCACTATCTTCTATGCTTTGTTCAGCAAAATTAACTATTTTAGTAGCGTTTAGCTATTTTATTAATTGTTTTAGTAGCGTTTAACTTTTCATAAAAGGCTTAAAAGCTAAAAGTTATAAAATAACATTTACAGAATGCCATTTAGAGTAACTAGCCAAAACTTTAACTTACAAAATAACATTTAAAATACCAATCAAAACCCTAAAAGCTAATGCCGAACACAGTCTTATTTTTTTTTATATTTACAATTGATATGAAAAAATGGTCGGAAAAAGAATTCAAATTTTATTAGTGAGTGCCTCTTTGACAATATACTTAGAATACGAAAGGTGGAATTCAACTAATTGGATTACCTAAGCCTTTGTCACAAGATACAACGATCTTGCCTAATGATAAAATAAGAAAGACAAAGATAAACTTGACAGAGTTGGAGACCATAAACGCAATTTGACCACTTTTTGAAGAGGATATTAAAGAAGGAATCTAATAAAATGGTAGCTTTCCAGCTTAAATCTATGCAATGCACACTCATTCAATCTTTTGCTCTTTCTTTGTGTTTTCTTTTTAGTGTGGGAACAGATTTTGTGTTTTCTCTTTTTCGTGTGTGAAAAGCTCAACCTTTTGACAATAAACGACTTATACTTGGCTAAATAGTTGAAAGTTACCATGTATTCACATGCAAGACGACACCGTATATTTCCAAAAACAATCGCTAACTTCAGACTTGCCACTTCCTGCTTCTCAGGAATTCCCATGCAACGTAAGAATTTTAGTGCCTGCTCTCAAAAGAAGAATGCATTATTCCTCGGGGTTTTTATTTACATTATTATTACTATTATTATTGGAGGACTTGAGATTTTCTTCTAGCTTGACTCTTTCTTGTCTTCCCACAAGTGGGGTGATATCTTGTAGCACTATAAGCGCTTTCTGAAAAGGATAGCCCTGGACAAAAGGTTCCAGGAATCGTATAAAAGCAAATAATAAAAAAGAACTAATTCCACTGCCAAGAAATTACAGTATAAGAAGCTCACTTCAAGGACTACCCAAATATATATTGCTCAATCATCCTGTAACAAATAATTAAGCACTTGACATTTAGAATTAAGTGAATAAACAAACAGAATTGAAATGCTCGGAACAAAATTTTGAATTATATATATTTATCCATCTTACATAAGTTTGCCCTTGAAATATTAAATTTTTCAAAGCAAAGTTATGTTAAACACTTTTCCTTTATGCTCCTGTTAATGTGCAGAGTAAAAAGAGTCTAAGCAAACCAAATCCAGGTTCCTATAAAACTGCTTTAGCAGAATGAAGGCTATCAGCAATCATCTTTGAAACATGCTTCTGGTAGCCTAAAGCTTAAGCAAAACATTGCCTGCAGGACAAAATAATGTCTAGTAAAAACAATAAACATGAAACTTATATGCAAGCAATTTCACTAATGGTAGTAGTCGATACCTTATTTGGGGCAACATCCCTGACCCTATGAAATACTGGGTCTTGTATACAAGCACCTAAGGCAGACTCTGCCTCCTGCAAGAAGATTAGATAAAAGTACAACTCAAAAAAAAAAAAAAAAAAAAAAAAAAAAAAAAAAGAAAAAAAAATATAAAATAAGAGATAATCAGATTAAAAAAAATATTGAGTTAGGTACATAAAGTTATGAAAGGCTTTCTCTGCACAGTGCTGTATTTGACACAGCAAAAACTGTTTAGATCCCCATATGGAAAACGCTCAAGACATAATAGGTATTCGGGAAATAAGGGGCATCCACCATAAAGCACTGCCAGAAACCAACACTATGGCACACAATTATGAATCACAAGTTTCAGTTTACTACCTCCTCATTCACGGATATTTAGATTCTCAATCTATTTGTGAGACTTTTACTGATTAATGCATTAGTAGTTGCTTCCCGTGAATATGATAAGTAATTACTCCCAATTTTGTGATGCTACCGAGTGCATGGAGACGCGAGATGGCTTACCGAGATTTTAATATAGTTTCTTCCGTTTTTGATTTGGCCTGCTGTATGAATCAAATAGCAGTGGATCCAAGGGAAGTTGTCTTTGTAACGCTCCAATACCCCTCGTTTCTTTTGATACCACCCCTACAGAGTGACATCTATAATAAACCGCACGCGGATTAGAGGAAAGACGTGGTATAGTGGTGGACTTTCTGTCTCGCCATCAATCTGTTTACACTTTGCTCTTTAACGGAGATTATATATTGGTAGAAACAGAAATGGAAGTTGCGCTATCGCATAATAATATAGTAAATTACATACACGTCTATTATATATATACGTCGATACTTTGTTTCACCAATAGATAGCACCTTATTATCTGGAGTGCACTCCCTGTACGTGTGACTTTCTCTTCTCCTATACGGGCACGAAGTCTCTCATAATCAGTCGCGCAGATGTCAGAGGATCAGAGGTGGGGTGGTGTGAGCGTGTGAATAGTATGATAAATAGGAGATTACGCTTTGTGAATGTTGGCTATTGCACCTGGAATCAATATATTGGAAGCTAGGTGTATTCATTACTAGATTATGCATGATCAATAAAAATTTTGCACAAAGCTTGTGTTTTGAAGTTGGTTGGTCTTATTTTAGATTGATAGCCAGAAATTCTAGGATTGTTAGATACCTGAGGAGAAAACTGAAAACGAGTTACTAAACCATAGTGAAATGAACGCTATGCAACTAAACGTAATGGTTAATCCTAAGGGATCAGTTGAAGAGAAAGAAGAGCGAGACACAGTAAGGCAGGCACATGTATTCACTACGGAAAGGAGCAAGTAGAGGAGAGAGTAGAGATGAGATAGACAGGATAGATCAGTGCCTACGACAAAAATCTGACCTCCCATACCTCTTCAGCAACATCTATAAGCAGATGAGCTTGGGAAGGTTATTAAGGACGAATAAGCGATACCTCTCTCTCCCTCGACTCATTAGGATAATGATTGCGAGGCCCTCGTACAATAACTCTTCTTAGTTCACACTTCCTTTTCTTCCTGAGATGTTGAAGGAAATAGCACGCTCCGGGATGAGTATTTTTCATTTTCTGTTTCCAAAGTGTGAAAGGAAATTTAGATATTCTTTGCCAATTGAGTATCGCAAAAAATCTCTTCTCTTCGTTGATAACATAGCAGCAAAAACTTTCGACGTTAGAAACAATCTTGTTGTGTGATGTGCTTCCTTGATTTTGGTGTTATCATCTTCATGAAAAACAATGCGAGGCCTTTTAACTGCGGTTACAGAAGTATCTGCCTTTTCTAACCATGGATCTTGAGTACCCTCATGATCACTGGAACAGTTATCAAGGTGCTTCCTTCACATCAACTGTGTCAGAACAAGGGGTTTTAGGATAAAACTACAAAACTAATCAGGGCAGACAGTGAATCAACACACATAGTAAAGATTACCTTGCCGACTTTGTTTCCTCAGTGCCCTGTAGGCGTGATTTCTTCCACAAGCTCTTTTATTATCAGAGCGTGCCTCGGTATTCTAAATCATTTTCTTTTGGATTTGGTTGTTCTGCCAATACAATTGGAGAATTAAATTTACCTAGCATCGCATTGCTGTATGGAAAATACGGGGTCATCACACCTTGATTGAGTTTTGGCAATTAAGTTTCTCCCATAATACTCGAAAAAGCTATCTGGATTCAATGTCATCTTGCATAAACAAACACATCCTTTTTGTGCTGCTTGGGAATTGCAAAAGGGGACTCAATACCAGCAAAATGTCACAAATTGTATTACTCCCTGTGATTACGAATGAGAAACCAGCCTCATATGTTCATGTTCCAACCTGAATTCCAAATAAACCATATCCCTACTGAATTCAAAGCTTGATGTTGCTCGGCATATTCTTCGACTTCTGTTGGAACCATATCATTTATTCACCAGCCAAAATTTCAAAACTTTGGCCACTGCGGAACTCGTTTGATAATATGTTTTTCCAACTTTATTCTTGACAATAGTTATTTGATTCCATGGATAATTTTTCTGAGATAGGGAATAATATAACAACAAATAATATACATATATACATTCTGTAGTGACCTTCTAAGACAAATTACATAGATCAATATTAATTTAGATAAAGTTAACTTAAGACCTTCAAAGAGTTAATACCGACACGTGATTTGGAAATAAGTGGTAGAAGCAAACCAAAAAACTAACTACCCATGAAGGCTTGCCACTTCTTATTATGAAAACAAAAGTATAGCAGAAAATGGAACAGTAAATGATTAATGAGGGATTTAAAGCCAAAAAAAAAGAAAAAAAAAAAGAAAAGAAAATACAAGAAACCCACCCTTTAAGAATTGAGATCAGTTAAAAGGTTATCTGCAAAAAACAAAAATGATTGCAATAATTATTATTCTCTTGAAGAATAATGATTAACCATTACAATGCTCTATTAATTTTTAGAAGAGATATAAGTTGAGCAGAGATGAGTAGCAGCAGAGGGATGGGGTAGGGACATTCTTGGCGTTCTGCTTGAAGTCTCTCAACAGATGTTTAAATTATTTCTAAGTCCAAAAATGTAATGAAACACTTACATCATAAATAACCTGAGCAATAACATTCTTGTACTCTTTTAAGTGGGTAATGCAGATTCTCATGTATACTTTAGATGGGCATAATGACCTGTAGGACTAAAGTGTAATTCACACATCAGTTTGTGATGGTTCCTCAGGTTCTAAACCGGCAATCTACCAAGTGGTATTTCATCTGGCAAAATAATTGCCAAACCAAGTGATGATTAACAATATATAGGGAAAATGCAAGACTCTTTAAGCTTAATGTAAGTATAAAGGGAAGAGGCATCATGGAATTGAAAGCCACAAATACATGACAGACATATAGAATGAATAACTTTTCAACTATTGTTTTCAACGATGAAGATCTCTACTCCAGGAGGCGGGTTGCTGACTTCATAATGTGATCTGCAAATAACGTCCAGATTAAGATAGTTTAGCCTTTATCAATACAGATTTTTATGCCAAGATTATCACTATAACAGAGAATTAATTATAAATTTAATACTAGCCCTTAAGGAGTACTGTATTTTATGTCTTATTCCTTATGTTAGCAGAAGAGGACAAACCATTTGCTACCAACATATACACTGGGAATTGTTAGTTGAAGCAGGAATGCCATTTAATCAAAGTTTTTGGACAACGTTTAATTACGCTTATATGAAAAATCCATTAAATATCAAAAGAGGCAGTATAGTGTATAGCGGTCTGCTGTTGAAACTATTTTAGTTAGCAACTCCAGCTAAGCCAAAAAAACAAAAAGGCAGCAAGGGAGAAAACTATTTTTTGATCAAGAATGTGCCAAAATTTCATGTACAGGTAGTTGCTTAGTTATTAGCTCATTGTGTATTAAGAAAAACAGAGAAACAAAAAGTTGACAATGGCATACCAAACCTTCGAGTGGCTCAGAAACTTAACGAACCAAGATTTTTTACACTATTTTCAATTCTGACACTGGGAAAAACCACAGTTTATAACCTTCTCCAGGTTAATGAATATCCAAACTGTGTTCGATTGGAATCAAGGAACTACTTCACTAATAAACTTTTTCAGTTATTCAAGTTTTTTCAACACAGGAATATCAGTCAAATCTGCTTCCTTCGTCAAGAAATTACAATTAAAAATTTAAAAGTGAAGCAAGGTAATTTCACAGGAGATTTTAGTAATCTTATTTAGCCAAAAACAATCCAATCAAATTTCTCACCGGGATAGTCTTGCTTGTAATCCCTTTTTCAGATTAAAATCATAAAACGATCCTTTCTCGCAAGTGGTGGATCTTCGGTAATGGGTAACACCGAGCCTTTATCAATAGCAAGTAATCTGAAATCATATTTCCGGGATGACTACTCTACTTATAAATTTGATTTAAACTGGAATTGGACTATATAGGCCATGGTGATTATGGTTTATGAAGCTCTAAAACACGTTAACCGCACGCTTTAGATAAGCGTAGTAGCAACCTTGCAGTTGCTCACGAGGGATTTCTCAAGTGCCCATAACTTCCTAAGTTGCACATCAAACTTACTCTTCGTCGAACATATTTGCAATTTCAAAATATATGTGAAATTGAAATCAAATATTAGACGTGTTTACATTGTATGTCAGTTTATTCATAATGATTAAAACCGTGAGGAGCGGATGGTACGAAACTCTTTTTGTGAGAGAACGCGGAGGAAGGGTCTTTTGACCTGGTTTATGCGACGACGTTTCTACGGCTATTTCTGGGGAATACACTCCGTGTTGTGGTATTTGTAATACAAATTAATATCTCAAATTGACCATAGAGTCAATGAATATAGTTAAGAACCAGTGAGTAAACATGGTCACTTTCTAAAATTCGGACAGTTCACACCTCTTATTACTTTAGATGAACGAACTGGTTCGGATTTGATTTACCGAATTGCGAATCTCGCATCAATATAAACTGCATAAAATTCAAATTTTTATAAAAATATTCAAACTTGAATTGAATTATCTATTTATTCAAATCAAAAGCAATTTTATTTCTATTGTTTCCATTCAATTTTTTTTAAAAAA